ACAAGTGATGTTGTAGAATGTAGATAATGATATTTTGAAACATCTACATGTGTGTACAAAAGACGATGTTGACTTGAATAATAGCAGATCAAAGGATGCTTTGATTGAAGGGGAGGGGGCATAATGTAATACTCAAAACATTTGACAATTAAGCAAGCAAAAAATAAAGCAACAGCAACAAGAATCAGACAAACGAATGATGCAAAGAAATTGAATGAACAAATGCATGTACACTGTAGGTTATCAAATTTGGCCATGGGACACATGCCTCAAAGATATTATAAAAGAATTATCCAAGCAATTTGTAATTAATCCCTTAATACACCACTGTACTCACTGATATTGAGAGAGTTTCCAAACATAACAAGAGAGATGATGTTGAACTAAAATGGAATGTTATTTTATCATATTCATACCTCCTTGGTGGTCAGAATATACAGCTCCTCACTATCCTGGTTGATATGTACATCATGTAAGACATTACCTCCAACATCAAAATTGATCGTCTCGTAAAGTCTCCCAGTATTGTCAGGCTGTACATGAATCTGAAAGTTTAACCACAAGATATGACACAATTGAAACATCTTCTTCTTTCTTTGGTTACATAGGAAAATATTCTCCATGAGTTCATCTAGAATTTTTGTAATGACATTTCATAAAAACAAACAAACAAAAAACATGATAACCCTTTGAATCAACAAAACAAGGTGTAGACACAAACAAATAAACACATAAATAAATGTATAAATAAATGCATAAATAAATACGTAAAAAGAGACAGAGAGAGAGAGAGAGAGAGAAAGAGAGAAAGAAAGAAAGAAGAAAGAAAGAAAGAATTAATAGACATTTATGAGTTTGTGATACAGAATACACAATACATCTATTAGTGTTCAACCTTTCTATTTAGTCAATATTTTACATACCTGTAGTTATCTTTCTAGGTCTATGTATTAGGTAAATTGTCGTCATCACTCTCTCAAAATTTTGTTCAATTAAAAGGCTTAAAACTATGATATATGTATACATATACATGTACTACTTCGTAGAACAATTTTTTGCTTTGTAACTGCTCTGGATAGGATAGGAGTGGAACTGCAATATTTGGCGACACATAGATTGGTTCTTGAAAGGAAAGGATCGCAATAGAGTACCGAAGCTGTGACGTCATACAAATCTATTTTTAGAATTTCTCAATTTTTTTTCTTCATTTTCCGAAAGAGCATCAAAAATAATGTCCAAATGTCGAAAACCAATTGAATAAGTTAATTATTGGCTGAGATATGACCATCTGAATAAAAAGATTGCCTATAGGAACTCAGTGTTATATGCTCTGGCTCCTAATGGTTAGGAGCCAGAGCATATAGGTTTTCGACATTTGGACATTATTTTTGATGCTCTTTCGGAAAATGAAGACAAAATTGAGAAATTCTAGAAGTAGAATTTTGATGACGTCACACTTCACCACTCTATAACAAGGAAATAGACTATGATCCTGTACATCTTTTGAATGTAATCATCAAGAGCTGTTTACTTGCAATCCACTGTGTTTATGTATGACAGGATTTACAAAAACAAAGGAGAATATAGGGTGTATATATAGGATCTCATCTTGCAATTATTTTTTACATACTCTACAAGAGAAAAAAACTTAAAATTAAGAAGAGTAATGATTGGTTTAATTTTTCATTTTTTGGGGTTCAAGTATCCCCCAGTTTCATACTCAGAAAAGAAATGTCAGTTGCTTTGTTATCACAACATCTCTTTCACTGTTATACTGTGTCATAGTACTTCACAGTGAGTACTTTGGTGGACATATCCCATAAAGTATCAAGTATTGAGGTGTTACAAACATGAATTAACATGAAATTAATGATTTAACATCATTATTTGGTCTTAGCCAAACTCTCTTACAATTATTAGATGCCTTTTGGGCTAAAACCTCATAATACATACATGTATATATGTACAAAATATTAAGAATATTAAAAGTATAATAAATATAAAATATATACAATATATATATGTATATATTCATGTAGTTGGACTTACCCATGGGCATCGAGTACATAACATTTATGTACATGATATGCTCTGTTAATGATCTACACATCACTGTTAGCTCACAGAGTCGTTTGAATATCACCTATCGTAAAAGAATCATGACTGACACTGTATAATGATCAAAAAAATAAGTTTTTAATACAGTACATGTTTTTTTCTTCTTCTTAATTTTATGTTGAAATCTTTTACCAAATGCACATGAAACTTGTATACTAAACTTAATAAAAATAAGAAAGAAATTGAATTAAGTAATATTACCTTGCTGAGAGTAGCAGTTGATGTTGTTGAGGTGGTAACCAAGGCAACAATTTCATTTTCTTTATTAAGGGTGACGATGGAGGAATGTTGTCCAGGAAGATCTGCTGCAAGAGGGTTTCCAATGAGGGGACTTGTAGCCTGTGCATGGCTGTAACTGGTTCCACTGTCACACTGAAGACCATCCTTAATAGTTTGTCTAGTGTCGGTCTGGCAATAACAAAATTACATATATGTACATATAATTAAAAACAAAATAATTAACTGAAACAAGACAAATGCGACTATGTCCCCAAAATGCCTCAGCTGAAATTCAAGGCTTGAATCATTCTTGAAATATCAGGGTGATAACAAATATAGCCTAATCTACATCTAATTACAAGTAAACTTATTGTTACAACCTGTGACCTTTGACCTGACAATCTCAAAATCTGATCATTTCTCTCCCTCATTATATATTTGGTGCCCGCCCCCCCTCCCACTCAGTGTTATTTAGGGTACGCGTATGCATGTTCCCTCCCTTTGAAAACACCCCCCCTAAGTCCGGTGTGTAAAGTCAATACGGGCCGATTTTGTGTGTATTACGAGCCGGACTTTGTTGCGTGAAAAATACCCCTTTAACAGAGATTTTGGGAACATGAATGCGGTCCCTTCGTTCCCGGAGTGGGGGGGGGGGGGGGCGGGATTTGGTGAAGCAGCTGTGATTACACAACCTCCTCCCTCCACAAATAGCAGTAATCATGGAAGAATCCTGGATCGATGAACAGGCTTAGACCTACAACATCGTGTATTAAAGTAAAGTAAAGTAAAGTAAAGATAACAAGTTGTAAAAATAAAATTTAATTGGATGTACTGTATATTGACTCACTGACTTTTGACCTTCTTAACCCCAAATCTACCCGGTTTGTCTCACTATGGTGATGCATACTAGTAGCAAGTTTAAAGTTCATTTCTCAATGTGATAATGCGGCTAAAACCCTGAAATTTCATGTAAATTGTCCTTGATGTCCCTTGACTTAAGATCTCCTTACCCCAAAATTCTTGTGATAACGAGATAGCTTTGAATGTTGGGCTTCCTAGATGTACCGGTAATTTCAATTTGTAAAGAATTTGTTTTGGCTTGCAACCTGTTTGGGTTTTATCATCATTGAATACATCAAAGAATTTTTTTAATATTCTTTGCTTGGATGTAAAAAAAAATCAACAAACTAAAAGTAACCATGTCTCAAAACACACAACTAAAGAAATACAGTTTCATGTACATGTATGGTAAACTTCGTACAGTAGGCATGGATGAATTAAACAAATTATTTTGTACTTCTTAACCCCCCCCCCCCTCTATTCCAAAAGTTAGAAAAGCATCTTGAATATATGTCTCATACAGTGGATTTTATGGTTTATGGTATGTTCGTTCCATAAATATTAATGAGAAAAGGGCATTTCATTTTAGTGATATCAAACAGAATGAATTCATGCTCCAGTAAGACCACTTCTCCACATCTAGCGATAGTCTAATAATTTCTCATGTTATTCATTGTTGTAAGAATGAGAAACCCATTGAAGTAACAATATCTCTTTGCAAAAAACAATGTGAAGAACAATACCAAACCCAATATGCAGACTTAACCCGTTTCCAAATACAACTGGATATGAACACAAACTGTAAAACAACAAAAAGAAAATTAAACCTCCAAAATATACCGGTAGGCAAAATAGATATTTGCTTTAATGCAAGTTTTGGGAAATTTTGAAAATTGGATGGATAGTAATTCTTTAAAATTTTGATATATTTCGATGCCCTTGTGGATGTATTATAAGCACTAGAAAATCTATTCTAGCCCTTAAAACACTTCTGCTTTCGAGAAATTGAAAAATCAAAATTTACCCGTGCTCCAAGTAAATTTCAATTACAGTATTTCAAATAGCGCCTAAGGCTATTCCATTGTAGCTGCGACCATGAAAATCTCTGAATATACAGTTTTGATAATTTCCAAACGGGAATAGCAAATCAGTTATCAAGAAACATTGTTTTAAAGCTAAAGTATATCAGTCTTGAGAGGGAGCTATACAATATAAATTATTTATAATTTCATCACTTTAGACTCGATTTCAACTGAAATAACGATCATTGAATATTGTAAAATCGAAAAGCTTCTAATATGTTCATTTAAACCAAATTCATGACCCCATACCAAAACTTTATATTACTTTTAAAGAAACTATGTCCCTTTTGCAGCCAACATCAAATTCTGTAGAACTTTGCAGAAATTATGAATATGTCATGTATGTCCTATCTGTGAAATTTAAACGTTAATAGCAGTGTCCTAAACTAATATTCAAATTATGCAAGGAATCCTTTATACCTGCTAGACTTCACTGTCAGACAGAACAACAAACACAAAATGAGCTGTAAAGGGTACACGTATTTGTCTACATCAATAACCCACTTCTTGTAATGGCCAAAATTAAAAATGATTGAATCTTTGCGCAGCATTAAACCTACGACCATTCGGTACAATGGTCTGAAAATCAGACTATTACTTACTGGCTCTATAGCTCTTAAGTCGATTTGACAACTAATAGTCGTTATTTTCCCACTTAAAGACATTTTCAAGCCCTCTTTTTTTTTAGGGAAGTTCCAAATTATTATTATCTTTCAAATGCCGTTAGAATTTACCTTTTCATGGCCTGCAAATGGGACATATAGGTACCTTTAAGCTAAATAGACATCACAACTCAAAATTGTAATTGTGAGAAATACATTGTAACTCTGTTTCTGAAAATAGAGAAATGAAATTGCATGTACTGACCCTTGCAAGAGGTGTGCACGTTGAATCGTCCAGGTATGATACCTTTGTTCCACTACAGCTTGTATCCCAATAAATAACACAGCCACAAGTAGCATCAACAAACTTCTCCTGAATGTCATTCATTGTGTATGAACACAAGGCCGAATATGTTTCATTTGTGAAGACACCATACAGTACATCATTCGAATCAACATAGACTGCTTGAAGAGTGCTGTACGACCCGGGCTGGCATGACAATGTGATTTCAGAGTATGCATCAAGGTCATCTTGAGTATTGTCTGTACAGATTCTACCTAGTCTTGAATTTTCTGAACCACTATGTGCAATAAAATAGTTATAAGTCTTCCAGGAAACTCCTTGAGTATAATTAACTGCAGCAGTTACACCAACTATTTCTCCTGAATATTCAAATATGAAATATGGACTTGTTGGGTGCATCAGTTCTCTTTGAGTGATTGGTTGTGCCTCGCTATTGGCTTGGGGTTGGGATTGGGCAACATACATGATTACCGTACGGTCATCATAGTCTCCAGACTTTCGAACTGCGACAACTCCTGCAGACACTTCTTCATTTACAGATACTACTACGGTGCGGGTGTAACCAAAATCTCTTGAAATATCCATCAAATTCCTAAGTTCGCATTGGCCTTCTGGTCCGCCGCACTGAACGAGCTTACTAACAGGTGCTGGCGCTACCTCCAAGATCTTGGTATCATACAGGCATTCTGGGTTCCCACATGACGTAGGATCATTTGGAACTGTGCTCTCCTTCCTCAGTAGGGTCAAATTCAAGGCAAGCTGATAAAGTGTTGAGACTCCTCCAATGTAGACAAAGTCTGTTCCACTTTCATTGCTGACCACCATCTGGTTGAGCGGCTTGCTCGATTCATCTTGAAAATCGGCTTTGAGGTAGGATGACAGCTGGCCATCCCTACTTCCTTCGATGCATTCCACCCACATCACCACAGCGATCAAGACAGGGAAGAAGTGCCTCCATTTTATTTTCTGCATGGAAGCCATGTTGATAAGGCAATGTCTGGTAGAACGTATAGACAAGAAGATAAGTCCCTACTCACTAACCTTCCATACAATGAATATAGCACCAACCTGAAACAAAACAAGAAAAAACAAGAGAAAAAAGGCATTACATTGATAGGCCCATTTACACAGTGCAAACACCATTTTGAAAGTTATAAGTTATTTGACTGCCATTTACACTACCGTGTACACTGTGTACATAATACACCAATTGACAGCACTGCGCAAGAGCACCTTGCCAGACATTTCAACCTTGACGTTATATCCTGACTGATGGATCCTCTCAAATACCGACGACGTAGAAGTAGTAAGACTTTAGCATGGTTGCATCTTTTGCAATCTTAGTCATGTTAGTCTTGGTTCAAACATACATTTCCATGAAAGTTGCACTTGGATACAGAAGAACTACAACTTAGTAAAGAAGATCATGATTTACCGGTTCGTTTTAATTCCTACACTGTAAAAAAATAATAGTCGAAATAACTCAATAAAATTGAGGAAAAGAATTGCCTTATTTTTATTAAGTAAATATTACCTACGACATCTTAAGTACAATTTACTTATTTTGCTGAATAAATTTTTACTCAGTTAAATCGAGTTACATTAACGTAAATAATTTAAGTATTGTAATCATTTTAGATAATTAAAAAAAAGCTATGATAGGATTACATATTGCACGATTTGGTACCCATCTAATCTAACAAGTAACATCCACTAATCATTCACTACTTCTATTTAAGAGTAATCACTAATCACTAACACTACTTCTATTTAAGATTTAACCGTATATATATTATCTACCACCATCACAAACTATTACATATGCTTCAATTCGACACATATTGAAAGGCTCCAAATTTTATATATACTTGATCGTAGCATCTTAAAAGGAAAATTGGTTGACAATTTTCTGAAATATCAATATATATATATTGTTTTGAACTGGGTAACAATTAAAAATTGTCTTGTCTTTGCTTAGCCATGTTAAATGAATTAGTAAATGTTTTAAAGTCCTTAAATTTTCATTCAACCACAAAAAAGAATTGTTTTATTTAAAAAAGAGTTTAATTTGGTCTTAATGAATATTCATAAATTATGTAAATATTTCTATTACGCACTGCGTCGGTCCTTACTTTAAAAAGATAAGAATAATCAACATAAATTGTTTGAGTAATACGTATAATTTCTGATTTTGAGTTAAAATTACTAAATTAATACAAGCTGAAATTACTTAAAGTTCTTATGTATTTGATTTTACTGAAATATTCCACGTATGTTCTACTAAATTGAAAGTTTGAGTTAGCAAGACTTAAATTTAGTGCGTAAGTGGCAAAACTAATGTTTACAAGTAAATTCTACATGGAAAAAATACGTAAAAATTACCAATGAACAAATTATTTTTTACAGTGTACCACCACATAACATCCCACTCATTTTGAGTGAATACGAATACACAGCCAGCTCAGTCACAAGTGTTGGAAGAAGTTCAACAAACAACTTACCTTGTAATCACTACACACAGTTTAACTTTGCTTGTACTGCGAGAACATTATAATTGACTCCGATAGTACTTCCTAAAAAGGAAACTATAGATTCAGTGTTCCTTGCTCAAATTAAACAGTTTTTTTCAGGTAGTTACGGACGTTACAGGTTTTGTGAGGCGAATGACAATACTTCCTAGTTGCTTGCAGTCTGACTCCAGAAAGATTGCAACGAATAACAGGTAAGTACGTAAATTATAAGAATACACTTTTCCTGAGAATTACTGGCTGACCCTACTTCCGCATTTAGACAACACTAACATTTTGGAGGGGTGTGGAGGGACTATTATTAGAAACTAAATCTTACATTGGATTCCAAAACATGATGAATCTTACAAACGAGTTATATTTTATTCAATATTGTCACTTTACCAATTTAATTATATCTACAGCGAAAAGGTATTCACAACAGCAGCAATATATGAGCTTCCCATTTTATTTTGCCATCGATTTCAGGTGTACGTACGTGCGTAAACTTAGGGAAAACCCCTGTCTAATCCCCCCCCCCCCCCTGGACCCGCTTCTGGCTGAATTTGTTGTTGATTTCTATGCTATATCTTTCTTGCAACTAGATCCTTCTTTGAAGACAGACGGTCATGCAAAACTCGACCACCTGCAGTTGCTGCTTTTCTTAGGCTGAGCTTAATCTTTGCTGACACAGTTCAATAGTCTATTATATCCAATGCTTGTGAAGTTCCGTATGATTCAACATTATTGGGGAGTGTTCATCCACTACATCCCCATGAGGATGGAGTCCATATAGCAGTAGATATTCCCTATACCACCAGTCTGTTTTCCACATTCTAACTCCTTCAGCTATCAGGAAAGTTTTGTCCTGTAAATTCAGCTATACCATGCTGCGATCATTATAATTGACTTGTTCTCGGTGAGTACTGCGCTGTGGCCTGTGGCTGATCATTTCTGCTTATAAGACATGCCTACTCCTGTATTTGCAACTCCAGTTTTGTTTCTGTAGCCTGTTGCGGTTACGAACTTGTAACGACTGGTGCTTTCTGATAGTATATTCATGTACCAAGTTTGCTCTTGGATGCCTAATAATTCTATCAATTTCGTAATGGTTGAGACAAAACTGTTGTGCACTATATAATTTGTATAGTTCTTCTTTATTCCATCATTTTCTCTGAATAGACGATCCACGTTTAAAGTTGCTACTTCAATGGCTGGTTTGCAACTTAACAGTCTCTTGTCCTTTGAAAATAGATACATACTCCATTTGCTTTAAAGGGGAGGGGGAACCTATACAACAATTTATACTTCATTTGATTGTGCATGTATCATTAAATTTTGTGCACCTTTAATTTCATGTTTTTTTGAAATAAATTCAACTCAATTCAATCCTCATCAGGCTTGTCCAAGTTCCCAAAAGCTTTGATGACAAGCCGTCATGAGCTTCATTGTATGCAGTGGTTTTTCTTTGAGTGTCAAAAAGTAATAATAGGGACTTGAACCCTACACTCTAAAAAAAGAGATACCCAATATTGGGTAAAATTTTACACTTTACGAGGGTAAAAAGGGAACATGCATGTTTGTTGGGTAAAATTTGACACAGGGGTGGTTGGGTAAAAATTTACCCAGCAAATGTTTAATGTTTTACCCAACTGATGTGCAATATATTTGACCCAATGTAAAAGGTAAAATGTTACCCAACGACAACCATGTTCCCTTTTTGACACAACATTGGGTAATTTTTACCCAACTCATCCTGGGTACTCGTTTACTTAATTCTTGTGTAATTTTTTTACCCAAAAGTTGGGTAAAATTTTAACCCAACCTTATTGTATGATTTTTTATTTTTACACAGATTTGGGTAAAAAAGAAAATTTGTCCGAGGAGTTGGCTGGAAAAGTACATGCTATATGTAGTGTATATTGTATACGTAGCAGACCTCTCTCTCTCTCTTGGCTAGACAGTCTTTCGCTTGGCGTGCTCGCAGTAGGTGACTGCATCGCGGATGACATTCTCCATACGAATAATGTGTTGTCCAGAATTATGAGGAATTTCATGTCCATATTGAGAAGATTTACACGCATTGATGCAAATACATGCTGCGGAAAGACACAAGTGCATGATCGTAGTCTATTTCGAACAAAGTCGTCCATCCTCTGTCGATCTTGAACACGATTAATTCGATAAACAGCTAATTCGGAACGACCGACCACGCTAGCGCTTCAATTATACAGTCAGACCGCAGCGTGCGCGATAATGAGGCTATACGCTGATTTTTATTCAGCGTCTCTTTGGTTATCTCGTACATTCACGTGTGCTGAAATTCACGAGATTTTCTGTGAGATTTGTAAGGGTGTACATGCAGCTGCTTTTGTGGTCGATAACTTCTGTCAACATGGCAGCACGCAACGGTTTTTACTCTCGAGATTCTCAGCTTCAGTTTGATATGAAACTTGCCATATTTCACAATTTTGAAACGATCCTTTTTCACCACTTTTATTGTCGTTATTTTTGTAACATTTCAACAGCTATTTTGTACCCGAAATTTCGCTTTTGGTTCCTGACTTTGGTACATAATTAATTTGTTTACTTTGAGATTCGTTGGAAAGATGAAAAGTCACTGATCAAAATAATGTCAAAACCTAATTGACGCAAAATCTTGTTCTCTTTATAATCATAGTAATTAAGACCCTAAAAACCCGGAAATTACCGATTTGTTCTTTCTATATGATGGCACGAAATTGTGTGATTTCATACTCGTGCACGCTCGCCGTTTGAGCAATGGCAATGCATAACTGTTTAGTAAACTCCAGGGAGCTCCGCCGCGCCACCGACTGGCCGAAAAAATTAAGAAAAATGATTAAAAAAGAAATAATGTAGAAAAATATTGTTTGAAAGGCAGGTGACGTAATTGATCCAGGGTCCTCAGGTTGTTGTCATGACTGCTTGCGCGCACGTGCATTACAGGCGCACGCCACAAGGAATGCTTACTCAAATTTGGTATTTAGAATGTTAATAAACCAAAGCGGAACATATGTGACGTAGTTGACGTATTTGGCCAATCAGAACGCTCTATTATCACATCGGCAAAGTTGACTACTTTTTTTAATTATTCATGAACATTCGCGTGATTTTTCTTGGTTCCTGACTTTGGTACAGCGTAAAATATAATAATTTTGATATCATTGTAAAGAAAAATATTTATGCTTTATGCTGATTATAACATCTTCTTGACGCAAGAATGATTTCTATGTGAAAATCAGCCCTACTCTTTAGATAGATTTATCGTCGAAAAACCCCATTTTCAAGGCGAAATATCTGTTTCCAAAATATATTAAACATGATTGTCATATAAGTATATAGAGAGTGCAACTTCTTATCTTTGAAATAAGACTCATTTCATGAGAAATGAACAATTATAAAGGCAAAAACTGCCGATCGGGAAGACCGTCTGCACTACTCATTACGTATGCAAGACACGTAAATTCTTGCATACGTGCTGAATAAAATAGAGGGTTTTCTCACCGGCTGCGGTCTGACTGTATAGTTTTTAACATCAGTTGTGTCATAATACCAACGTTTAGGTGTCAAAACTTGTGTTTACCCAACGCGTGGTTCAAATATTAATCTGCATCGTTACTTTCTTATCGGAAATGCGCACAGTCGAATTTTGATATGACACTATGGCAAGTGTAATGACATTTCGAAGGGACTTGGTGTTTGGCACAAGGTTGGGTAATACTTTACCCAACTTTTTTAAACGGCGATTTTGCACAGCAAAATTTTGCACTCTATTTTTAGAGTGTAGTATAATTGTAGTTTTGTTCTATCCATAATGATATATACTACTAGTATATATCTCTATGGTTCTATCACAACATTTCAGTTGCTAGCTTGTACTCAAGTGGGCGCAACTTCTACTTGGTGCGTTGGGAAGTCTGGGGAAGGTCCCAGGGAAGGTCCCATAATAATAATAGTGATAATAATAATAATAATAATCATAATAATAAAATCATAATTATGATAATATTGATTAAAATAATGATAATGAAACTAATAATAATGATAGTAATGATAACAATATAATAATAACAATAGTAATAATAATAATAATGATAAAAACGACAATAATCATGATAATCATAACAGTGAACATTTTGTAATACACCAGTTTATAGTTGTGTGCGCCATTTTAAACAAAGCCAATGACCTAGAGGTCATGTATTTATGCGTAAATTAAGATTGCGCCCATGCAAATTATGATGATATCACTGCCTACGCGCTGCGTTGTACGCGCACATCATCATTTGCATGGGCGTAATCTTAATTTACGCATAAATACCACTGGTCAAAGGTTATTGGCCCTGTTTCAGGGCCAATGACCCGAGGTCAACTGTCTGCGCATGCGCACTGATACAACTGTAAACTGGTGTAAACGGTGATGCACCGTGTCTGTCAACCGACACTCCTATATAGCGCGCAGTTGTGAGAAAATGATAGAATAATAATTATGTGGTCATACATCTGTAAAGCAATTCGAGAAAAAGAAAGCGAATTTTAACATACGTCATGACATGATTTTGCAATAATAGAATTTCAACATCATTTCCAACATAAAAGCATTGCTACATCCACCTAATATACAAAATATGAATGGAAACGGATAGGAGATGAAGTTAATAGCTAATAACAAGGTAAATTACAGTGACATAAGTAATAAAAGAGAAGTAAAAAATGTTGGGAACATAAACGTTTTTAACTGAGATTTGAACTGAGAGTAGATATCTCATTTCAGAGGTGAGGAGGGAGGCATTGTTTTTCACAGTTCAAGACCAGAACCTGAAAGCGAGATTAACCAAAACAAGGGAATACTCTAGAGAGGGAGTAAAAATGTACTCTCCTAAGTACTTTGGCGCCCGAGAGAAGAGATGCCTCCGCCTAAACTGACCCTGTACATGGGATAAACATGATTAGTAATACTCTCCTCTTCTTGTCCATTTTTTAAAACCCCCTAATCCTTTTTTTAAATCAAAAAGTCACTAGAAAATGTGACATGTGAGACGTTTTTCATTTATTTATTGTTGGTTTGGTTTTCGAGGGATATTTTTCTGACTCGTGCTGAATAGTGGATGTGCGCCATCTCTATTTCACAGGGCGGACACTTATCACTAAGGACGCCGTATTCTCTCGTTCGTTCTGGTACGTCGTCGACACGTATACCGCGTAGTAACTTACAACGGCACGGCGCCGCGAAAAAATACCACCACTACGGCCATCATTACATGCACGCCGCCGATTCCTCTCGATCTCTAGCTAAAGCTCTGGCGCTGTTTTGGTGCGAAATGGAGTGAAAATCCAAGTCGATATCATTTTAGTAATAAACCACTGTTTGTTTTTGGTATATCGTAGATAGACAGGAAGGGAAACAGATTCTAACGTTACAACGATACCAAATGTTATTTCCAAGTCACCTGCGAAAAGGAGGAAACCTGTTTGCAAATGAGCAGTCCGGATTCAAGAAAGAGATGACATTTGCATTGAGTGCCAACAGCGGTAGTTTGGTTAGTTCAGTCCCACTCATAGCCTCTTCTGTGCTGTTGGAGTAGTTGTATGGCGCGAAATGTAAAAGAAATCACTACTAAACGGAACAGCAAACTTGAGAGCTTTCTCAAGATAAACCTGCCAGAAAGTGCTTATGAACGGATCATAGCATATGAACCATGTATTGTTGATCATCGGAAGGAGAAAAAAGCATTTAAATATGTAGTCCTCAGTGCAGAACGGATCTATCTGACCGAGAATCCTCCAAAGACAATTCGGGAAGAGGATGGTGTGCAACTGGGAGAATTGATATCTGTTGAACTGGTAAGATACAGATCTATCCTAGTTATGTATTGCCTTATCACTTATGAACCATATCTAAGAAAGGGCTTAAAGTATTAGAAAATTCATTAGGATGTTTGCATTTTAATAGTTAGACCTCTAGATTCTAGACTAGATCTAGTCTAGTAAAGTCTACCATGATTTAGTATAGAAATGAAATTAATCTCTCGCTGCATCTTTGCATTTTTGTGAATTAAACTTTGAACAAAGTCTCTAGGGCCCGTCCCTAGAAACCGTCATAAGTCTAACTTCTTGACTATCCCATTGAAACGTGTGTTAATTCTATAATGCACGTTTCAATGCTCCGCTTTTATCTTATCTTTGACACGCCTAGCCTTGAGGGCTAGATGACTATCAGCATCAGTATACGGAAGTGTGAGGTGATCCTGTTGAAATATGATATATGGATACCCCTACGTTAAAGAATAAGAGTGATGTAAACAAAACAAACTGTCCATATGCCCTTTTTGCACCCGACTAAACCTTGCATACTGGCTTCGCTAGTGGACTCTTCTTTCTTCCCATACCCTGTACACAGTGCTTTGAAATCGGTTGAGAATTTATTAAATATTGTTTGTGTAAATTCGATACTGGAATTATAGCGATGTTTTATACGGGGGATGTACAGAAACATATTTGCGATTATATTTAGGGTGCACTAGGGCTCAAATTAATTTTTTGTCCACAGAGGCTCTTCCAACAAAAAGAGCCCCTGGCCCTGTGAGCCTTCTCACGGGGGCTCCTTTAATACTGAAGGGGGTTCTTTTTAAAAACAAATTTCCATTGGATTGGTACCCATGATACTCCTAAATCCTTTGCTATATCATCATTATCATTTAATTTAAGTCTGCATTTTCCCTCTTTACAAGGTACATAGGGGTTTCATCCAGTGATGACATTCTCTCCATTTCTTCCTATTCTGTACATTCTTCCTCATTAGTTAGAGCAACCTTATTACATTTTTTCTTTAGTCTGCACTATATTCTTCCACAACATCTTTGGTCTTCCTCTTCTTCTCAATATTGATTTACTGGTCGAGGTTCATTATATGCTGGTCTTTTGGGATCACCAAATTTGAGAGGATTCACACTTTTCATAACAGAAAAACTTCTCCATGTTTTGGTCCTTGCTCAATCGCTTCTTGCTCAATCGCTTCTTATCAAAGCAGATATGGGGCGGCAGCGTGCACACCAGTACGGTACTACCGGCGCGGTATAGCCGATGCTGACGGTCGCACTGCCCTATTAGCTTCCGTTGTTTGTATTGGTAAGACAGTCATAGAGATGTGGAGATGGCAGATATAGCACCATCTTGCGACGAAGAAGCATACATTTGTTTACAATATGAGGGCCTCTAGACACCGAAAAATTTGAGCGAGAAATCCTGCACGCTAATCTAATTTCCATAGTTCCATTTCATTGGTTTAAGGTTTGAAAAATTGAAAGTTAAAACTCAATAGTGTGTGAAAGTTACAACAGAAAAGATACCGGTAATCTTTATTTTATAATTCCACGGAGGCGGTTTTTAATTTTGCAATCGCCCCGGTGAGCAATCTGACGGAGCCGATTATGTAGCTCACAGGGGCGAATCAGATGTCGCCCCAGTGTATTTTGAGCCTTGATGTATATATTCAAAAAATTTCTTCAGGGAAAATAGACATTTCTGATTTTTTTTTGTCGTACATACATACATAGCAAATGCCAAAATGGGAGGGAAGTTGAACCTCGTAAGATATGTCACAGAGTCGACAATTTGTGTTTGATTGATCTTATTTGTTTTAGGGTTTCAGCAATTCCAACATTTATTTTCCAGCTAAAATTATGATTTAAAGCAAAAAATTGACTTGAAGGAAGTAGAGAACAAGATGAAAATTATTATTGAATAAAAAAAAGGAAGGAATTTGGGCTTCATTACATGATACATGTACAGTACATGTACAACTACAGTCGGACTGAATGCTTTGAAATAGTTCCAAATTCTGGTCAGGTAATATGCATACATGTACAATGTAGGGATTCACAATTATACATGTACATGCATATGAAATCCTGACTCCTAACAAAGTGTGCTGTACCTTAGAAAATGATAATGTTTGTGCCAATAAATTATTCCTAGATGTGTGTACATGTATATATGCGACTTTAAGTTCATTACTTGCTGTTTATCATTATTGTCCATGACTACATGTATCACAGTTACTCTAGTCTAAATATATATTTTTTCTTCACTTTGCTAAACCCAACCTGCTACATTTGCCCTTCAATATTTATTACATTTTCAAAATGATAAATTACAATGTTATATTGAAAAATTCTTTTCAATATAATCCTGTCTGTTTATCATTACAAATCTTACAATACAGACTATACATTATTGTGTAAAAGTAGACTTGGATGATGATACTGTACATGATAGAAAGAAAGTAGACATACAAGCGATTAATGAAAGTTCATGCAGGGCCATCTTAGATTTAGAGTGCCAGGCTGCTTTGTGTGATCCATAACTTTGGGTGAAATAAAAAGATACTTGGATCAATTTGTTGCCATGGGAGATCTCTGTGTCCTATTAAACAACTTTACTACGTGCACAATTGATTTCTGTTTTAAAAAAAAAGAAGTTCATTAGGTGCTTGTATTTGTATTGTCGAGACTCAGTAGGGAAGAAAATGATACATCATCCTTTTTAATCTGTAAATACGGAAGCATCCTTTGATCCACAAATTTATATATAATATGTACATGCACCACAAGTCATACAAGTGCTAATTAATTTGTCATATACCAGTACATGTCCATGTACAATGCATGCTTCTTTACTTTTTCATTCATCAAATACATGACCCAAAGCTTGTGTGAGGTCTAAGCAGGCTTCATGTTTGTGTGTACTCCTACTCTCCTACATTGTTAGGAATGTTACCAGGGTTTCAACACAGATCAAACAAAAGAGGGTCCTTGCCTGATTAATTGGTCGGTCAAAATTACTTCTCAGGCATGAAGCATCTCCTCACATGTATCTTTTGAACATTGCTCGACTGACTTTTTATGATAGAATGAGATGAAAATGGTTTAAAGAGGTAGCTACATGTACTTAGATCAACATCGTATAGGACATTATGACTGAAAATTAGATGGATAATGAATTAGAAAAATTGCAGTAGGCAACCTGATGTTGATTGAATAGTAAATGTCACTCTCATATATATTTCTGCCTAACCTAACAAAATGTGTACATTAAATTGTACATCATGAAAGTATATAAAAATACAATATTTCATGCCACATGGACTTTTAATGTAACCAAACCATTTAAAAAAAGCTTTATTCTCTGTGTTTATATTTGTCATTTTTCATTTGGCATAGATGTACATTTGATATGTTGTAAAGAGAGGAAAATAGAACACTTTCAAGAAATAAATAAGCAAACAAACAGACAACCAAAATACACTTGAAGCATGAGATTTTCATTACGCCTTGAGCTTGAGACAGTGCATGAAGTGTACAAAATGTGCAAGTGCAATTATCAATAAATACCCTCCCCTGGCAAGCAAGCATGTAGTATGCAGTGTGTTGTTTAGTCTGTTACCATGGTTATACTTCAAAACAAAAAGCAGAGCATATCTACTCTCCAAATTAATTGGTTTGGTTTATTCTTTTATTTTCAGTCATAGATCATTTTACAAGGCTACAGGTATAATGCTTTTATTGGATTACTGAAGACAGAGGCAGATGAATTGGGAATTTTTTTTCTTCGAATGAGACAACATTTTAATGAATCTTTTTATTTTACTACCTGGTACTGTACATAGAATTGAATTGTTTCTCTGTTTTCTCAGTTCATTTGCACTGTAGGCTCTGACTGTAAAATGTTAACAAAAATAGAAAAGAAGAGAGAATAACAAATTTCCTCTAGGTTTTTTGTCCATGTCTAGATGATGGAAGCTAAACAACAGCAATATTTGGGAATGTCAAATATCACTCATGTTTTGATGCTCATAATTTGTAGACTAAGATCTAAGTACCACTGATTGCCATTCAAAAATGATATGTAGACAAGAATGTATAAACAACTTACATGAATGATAATGCAACTACATTGTAGACAAGTTTTTAATGTTGTATGTGTAGGACATTGAAAAATGATATGTACAAAACTACATTTGCATGTAGAAAATAACAAATTATGCTGTGGTAAAAGAGCATCCAAAGACAAAAAAGTCACACACAAAAAAAGGAAGAGACAAAAAGTACAAAACAGCATCCAACGACAAATAAAAGAAACAGAAAGAAAGACATTTGGGAGAACTCAACTTATACGTCATACATATAGATCTGATTCTTATGAAATATCTTTGCAAACTACTTGATGAGCATGTCAAATCATATAAATTCTAGGTTTGTGTATCTTCAAGTAGCGTAAGACGATTGGGTGCCTGGGATGTAAGAAATACATCCTAAGAGATTCAAAGCAAAATAAATAAATCAATGTTTAATTGAGAAAATATAAAGTTGATATTCAGGAAGAACAACAAGTAATATGTACATTTTGTCCTACCCGTAAAATCGTAATAAGTAGATGAACATTTTAAAGAAATCATAGACCATTACCATCACCCATATTAAACTATTACATCCCAACCATGTCTTGTCAACATCTTCTGGACTGATTTTTCAAAATTTAAAAGTTGATGGTCCTTTGAAAAAGCATTCAGAAGTTTGCAGTGTCTACAAAGACAGCCTTTGAATTGTGAAAGCTATTTAAAGGTAAATGTAAACCAGTAATGATGTCCCAAACCACAACTATGGAGTACTAATTGCCTGAGCATTTGTTTACCCGTCACATGTTTGTTTTGTCAGTTGTTCACTGGTTTCAAGGACTCTCTAAGGAGATGAACTCTTTATTGTTAGGAGTCGGAACACACATACATGTACATGTACATATTGTGGGGCAAACATGCCCTCACTATAGATTGTCTTTATAGTAAGATGAAGCTAACACATTTTAAGTGTCAAATGGAATTACTGGCATGAAGATGATAATGTACACATAAAGTGTACTTATCTTGTAAAATTATTTTTATGGAGATACAAAATGTTGGTCTCTCTATTTTTGAAATCTGGAACTACAAGTACCCAGGGCCCACAAGGCACGTTGCTGGAAAATGCTCCAATCCTCTATTTGAAGAAAAAAAAAATTGTTGTAGTTAACAGGAGCCCTTTTTGGATTTACTATAGTATAAGCCAAATATCTGTACAGTGAATGACATTTATTTCATAGTTTTTGTTTTGTTTTGTTTGTTTAAATAGCAGAGCTATTCTGCTCCCTCAGAGATTTTCTGTGGAGCTTTTCAGAGCTACATCATTAATACTCATACCAGTGTATTTTTTTCTCTCTGCTCTATTCACAATGCCCTGTCTAAAAATTCTTGCTTGTGACCCTCATAGTCATACTGGTCAATGTGACCTACATGTACATGTATATCTAAAACTAGCATTTTTTTTACCTCTCTCTACCCATTGTTCAAGCTTCATTTCATTGAAAGCAAAATGTACACAATTAGTGATACATGAGGTGTGTGCTTGAACGGCATAATTTGAGAACAAAATAATGTGCTGTTAAATGTTAACCCTAATAAGGCCCTCCACGATTTTCCGATTGCTCGAAAACGCATACGGATGGCGCCCCGCCGCTCGCTGACTTTTTTCTTTCGAGTCTTGCGCATCTTTCAACAACAAAAAAATTGAAAATCGGACCAACATTTACAAGGTCACGTGACCTTTTGTCTTAATGTCAGCCCGAAAATCGCTCATTTTTGTGATTTGTGTACAAAACATAAGGAAATGTCATTTTTCCTAAAAACTTGGTTATTGGGTCTTGTTTAAAGTTTAGGTGGTTGTTTTTGGATTCAAAATAGTTGAATTGTAGTAAGAAATGAAATAAAACAACAAAAACAATAAAATACTTAAGTTAAAAAAACAATGAAATACATAAGAAATTATAAAAACAAGAGATAACATGAGGAATAAGCTAGCTTTTCCGAATTTTTTTGTCGTATTTTATTTCAATTGGTCTAATAAAGATATGTAGTGAAAAAGAATGCTCAAATATGAATAATAAATGATTTATGGGCAAAAATGTGATTTTATGACTTTATTTGCATAAATTACCATAAAATATGCAAATAAGTGAATTTTTCAAAAATTGAAATTATCATATTATTCTATACACTTCACTTGACAAGCGTGCAAATTTTCGCGGAGATCGGCCGCTTTGCGGCCGAGATCTTAGGGGGGGGGGGCCATAATGGCCCCCCCCCCCCCCCCCCCCGGCTGTACTAAGACCTCAAATAGCCCGGCCTTTTTAGGGTTAATCCATGATACACCTGTACATGTACTAACAGGTATGTGTGTTGTGGTTACATGTTTGTATTACAATGGGGGTTTACAACTTGCAGTCTACAGAGTGGCATTAAATTCTTTTAAAACCATACGATGCATGAACAAAGTAACACAAATCAATATATTGCTTTATGGATGTCTGGACATCAATAGCAGCTAGCCCTTATGCACGACTTGTTTTTTCAGTAGAGGAAATGTCTAATAAACCTTTTCATTTCTTTCATCGCCAGTATACTGCATTTTATACAAAATTGATCAACAAACTGAGCCTGTTTCTACAGTACCTGTAAATTATTGCATGTAATTAGTAATTTTGTGTTCAAATATGCATTTCCTTTCTCTTCTCTTACCTCTCCTATCACACTGTAGTATGTATGCATCCTTTTTTTTCTTCTTGTGAATATATCTTAACTATTTTTATCCATAGATACATTTAAGTACCGTAACTAATGTACATGTAGTATCATTTGACTGGAAATTTGCTTTCATCTGTCTCTACAGCAGACAAACCACTGAAAAGACAAATGAATTTGTAAGCAGCATCACATTCAGACAACAAGATATAGTACTTTAAAATGATTGATTCAAATGGTATCCTTAGCGACAACTAAATATTGCTATTTGCATTGTACTCATTACAAGGGTCTTTCAGTTTCACTTAGAGTGACTTGAGGGCACGGATGTTTGAGAAGTACTTGATCGGAGAAAACAATGCTCTTGTTACACAACTACCATCTGTACATTGTAGATGTGTAAAGATGTACAGTACATTACATGTAGGTTAAATAGAGATGCAAGTAATCAGTTCTTGTTAACACTTTGGAATATGTTTAGCAGCACCATTACATGTACAATGTACCGGTAGCTGCATTTACACAGCAAGCGAAAATCATTGATCTGCTAGTCATAGTTCTACCTGTATCGTTTGCTTGCAGAGTTGCAGTCACTTTTTTTTTCAGGACTGTCAAATAAAAATGAAATATTCAACTCTGAATAATATGTTCTTCATCTCGTTCAACTATAAATTATATTGCATGTACACATTGTAGTGTGTATCGGGATCTTCTTTTGGTTACAGCATAAAAATTATGGTCCATTTTATAAGGAAATACGGTACGTGTAGCGCAATAAAACTTTGCTGATATTACATTTTATTTAAATGTTGTCCAAATGAAGAAAGAAAAAGATTACCGTACATGAATTTACTCAACTTTGCAAAAATGTCTGTCAGAGTGTCAGTAGATCCAATTTAATTGAATATAATCAATATACACATGCAAATACAACATATATTGAGATATAAAATCCATTGCAGCTGTATGTAAAAGTTCAGTTGAGTAAGATATGATAATGGAATGTCCTTTTCTGTAATTTGATCATTACACATTTATCACCTTCTTATCATATTCCAAAATGTTACCTAAGTATATTTCATGTTCCTCTTTTGCTCTGCAGGTCAACGAGTTCCCAGAGTTCTTGAATGGGGAAGAAAGGGACAACTGCCAGCACATTTTCATTAAATACCATGCCAAAAAGTCAAGTAAACACCGCAAGAAGGGAGGCGGTGACAAGCATGGCAATGGACTGGACGAGGGGAGTAGCAGCGGGGGCAGCAGTCCCTTACCTGAACTCATTCTAACAGAGCCCAATGGCTCCACCCTGGACCCCTCCCAACACCCCTCCCGCTCCAGCAGCATGCGTAGCCTCAAGCTCAACCGCAGCCTGGATGAGAGTGACCTCAAATCACTCCGGGACATGTCCATTGACTCTGACTCTGACAGTGAGGACAGACTGTCTTGGTCCATGCCATCAGGAGACCTTGAGAACATGTCCATCCACAGCCTGGAGTCACTCTCACTGGGAAGTGGTGAAATGCTGACGGGAGACAAAGGCAAAGGGAAAATCACCGGTGTCGAAACCTGTCGCCCCCTACCCCACCGACCGCCCATCAACAGGGGACAGCGGCAGCGTAGCATTGACAAACCTGAGAGCTTCTCTTCCCAGATTGCCTCGTCGCTTGAGAATCGGGAAGCGAACGCACCAACCTCTCCACCAGGTTCCTCCACATCATCAAAGTCACAGCTTCGGAACCTACCCTCTCCAGAACCATCAGACACAGACAAATCCAAATCAAAGCCTTTCCAATTTCCTTCTTCTGAGAAAGAGGGTACCAAGAAAGGGCTGTATTCTCACATACCTCTCTTAAGACACAAAAGTTTGGATGAAGGTGTTTCCAGTAGTTATAGCAAGATTGACAATAAGGAGAACAGGTCGGCTGAAGACTTCCTTAAAGAACATGGTAAACAGAATGAAGAGGAAATGCATTTGTACATCATCTCATTGTCATCACCAATGCTTATGCATCTCAGGAGCTCATGGAACAACCATATCATTGTAAGTTTTTATCAAGATTCTGAAAATGCTTTAAGTATTATATACTGTATTGCCATACTCCAACATAACTTATAATTGAAATCTATATCCAAGGATCACACATGCAATGACCATATTTCTGTAAAGAAACTTGTTTTTGTTTTCCTTTAAAGCTTATCTTTACTAGTTTATAGGAGGGATTAGACCACCAAGCAATGTCACTGGACAGTTGGTTATCTCATCAACTCAGCTCTCAATTGACTTAAGAAAAAGAGGATCATGGGGACCAATGGTCACCGATTGGGCGTTGTTTTCTATATAGAGGGAGCAAGTAGCTACAAGTAGGACAGTGTGGCTTTAAGGAAACAATATACATGTACATGTACTTGAACATTATTTGGAGATTTAATATTTCAGTCTTTGACATACTTTAATGAACTTCAATGAACCAAGTGTTAAAGGGATCGTTTAACAATGTTAAATCTGAGATACACGGCCCTATGTGTTATCAGTGTCTGTGATATGGTGTAATATTGAAGCGCTAAAAAAATTGCGCTTCAAAATGATCAAGAAGTGCCTCAATAAAGTAAAAATCTTTGAGTGACCGGTTTTACCATACTCGTTTTCCCCAATAGACTGTAGTGTTATGTAGAGGTGTTGTGGTCGAGTGGATACGTCGCCAGTCTGTCGATCACAAGGTTCGCGGTTCGAGTCCCGCCGCCGCACTAATGTCCTTTGGCAAGACATTGATCTACATTTGCCACACTCCACCCAGGTGAAGTACATGGGTACCTGGTAGGAATTTATTCCTTGAAATGCTAGAGCGCCGTATGGCAGCCGTGCTAAAGCCAGGGTAATAATCGTGAGCGCCAGGAGGGTCAAATCTGACTGACATGAGCGCTATACAAGAACCCACTATTATTATTATTATTTAAAACCGTCAGGCGAACGGTTTTCAAAATTTGTAATTCCAATCATAAATATCTTGATAACCAGACAGGCGATCGGCTTGTAAAAGTCATGGGGTTCCTGACTGACCTAAAGGTTTATAATTATCATTGCATCGTGAGCTAAATCCAAAATTTTGTTTCAGAATCTGAGACAAAGTTCCCGGATCCCTTTAACATTTCCTTGTTTTTATGTATTCTGAACAATTGACTTATCCACATGTACAGTTGTATATTTGTATTTTGAGCCTTTATTGTAAAAATAATTTATCAGTTTATAGAATTGAAACCTAAGATAGCTTGCAATGAAACCCATTTGAAATGCATGTTTAATAAAAATGAAAAAATCTTTAAAGTATTAAAATGTAGTAGTGTAGTAGGTGAAGCATAATATGAATCTTTCATTCAGTGAAAGGTTTGTGAAATGTCGTTTACACCACGTGAGTGCAATCACTATTGTGTTTACAGTATATTATTCACTTTGAGATCGTTGGAGAATACAATTTGTATTGAATTACAGGATCAGACCAATAAATTCACTGTAGGCCTGATGTCTGCATCAGCACGAGTTTGCCAATATTCCGCTAATTTAACTATCCTGATTGCAAATTAACCAGTTAATTTGGGTCTTCATCAGCCCGCAGTTGCAATTAGTGGGATATTTGGTCAGAAAATATCCCACCATTTGGGAAATAGCGGCTAATTTGTGCCTGTCTAGTTTCTGAGCTAGTTTGTGATGAGCGTGTCGGTCTGGTGAAGACGCAATTTCAAGCTTTGGGATAACATCCTGAGTTTGAAAATAGCAGGATATATTATTTGGCAAACTCGAGCAGATAAAAACAGGTCTAGTATGACTATTTTTTCTTCTTCTAGAAAACTACGTTGTTGACGGATCAAGAGATCACTGAAAGATTAAAACCTGGGACTGGATCAAGCAAGGGCCCTTCAAGGTATATTGATGAACTCTTCACATTTCTTTAACATCGTGACAGTTTTAATAGGCATCAATTGTTTTTGCTCATTCACATTTGGGAATCATTCATTTGTTGGATGCCATCATGTGATAATTAAATGCACTTTCAGAGCTCTCAACTAGTACGTTTTTATCATATTTTGTACGACTTTTAGAAGTAAATACGACATTACAATTTTTCCTCAATAAAATACGATTCCCCCCCCCCCCAAAAAAAAAAAGAAGAGGCAAATTGCCTGTTCTCTCCTGTAAATTATCCTACAAGCATCTCACATTGGCAATTTGGTAATGTTCATTGGTTCATCAAACATACCAGTCATGACGAAATTGCATATTCAACAAAATGTTCGTATAATGCATAATTCTTCAAAATGTTGACAAACACCGTCTAACATAAAGAAAGTACTTATCGATCAAAAAAAGGATTTTTTTTTAAATAAAAAGAAAAGGATTTTTGTTCAGTTGGGGTTGCCATGGCAGCTTTGCACATTAAAAGACAGTGTATGCAATTTATATGACATGTTGATGTGAATTCTATGCTCAGAATATGATAGCGCCAGTATAAAAGATTCATGCTCATACATGTAATTCTCAAGAATGGATCACAAGTGATTATGATGCCTAAATAATCTATCAATACCTGCATACTAGGCCAAGTACTCTGTATACAGCGTATCCCCATTAGTAGAACCCAGTTTTTTAGTGTGATGAAAAAGCACACAAGATGTCACTCTGTGTATCATTATCATATATAATTCATGCATAAAATATTGCCTTGTATGGTTTTGTTACGCAAACCGCCTCTGCTTCGTGACTATTAAAATTGTATTTCATATGTTTTTTTTGTATGCAAGCTACATGTATATTGTATCTCTGTGCGGTTACATTTTATGGTTTCTATCAGAGCTCAACTGGAGAGGAAGTTTGCCCAACTGAAACAAGAGATTCTCAACTCAGGGTTTTCTATGGAGAAACTCTTCAGTTTGGTGCAAGAGTTGTTGACCGCCGCTGAGAAATACTTTGTTCTCAAGAAACTCTTCTGGAAGGTAATCCAGTACACTTATATTGAATTGTGAAAACAAGAAAATGAGGGACATCTACTTCGTAATTGAATCCGAGAACATTCCGTTTTACTTGCAGGAGATTTTTGTTTTGTCTACCTGTCATTTTCTTGTCGATGAGTCTATTTGGTCCAACATAAACAGTTGCTGTATCTGTAAAGTGCATGACCAAATCTCATGGACTGGAGCTGATGCGAAAATCATCAAAGCAATTTTGGGTTTGGAAACAAAGATACTTGAATTAAAAGGAGGTTTAATTGAAAAAAAGAACAGTCAAGATGTTTGCTGAACGGAGGGAATGTATATTGTAAGAAAGGAACGAAAGGCTGTGTGCTATCGTGAATATTTCACCCCTTATCATTTTAGGAATGTACATGTGAAACCGATAAATATTAACTGTTCATTATTAAAAAGGACAAGTCAACCAATTGAAAACGTGAAAGTTTGATATCTATATTTAGAATTGAAGAGAATCTTCCATACTATATGCAGATCGAGATGCCAACCCTCCCTGATTTTCGGGAGGGCTCCCTGGAATTTGTTTTTGAGACGTCGCTCCACACGAATGTTAATGCCTCCCCGCTTGTTTGAAAGATTATTCCTATTACTGGTATGATGTATGCAATTGATATAAACCTCCCTGATTTCTGAATGAATCCTCCCTGAAAGCTGAATGTAAAGGTTGGCGTATCTAAATAAGGAAGCTTAATCCTTTGCCAACAGGACCTGGCTGATTCCTGTATTATGTCTAGAGAAATGAGGGAGTTCTTGGTTAACATACATGTACCTGTAGATGAAATTGCATAACTTTAAATTGGAAAATTCAAGTGGATCGTCAAAATATTTATTTTCAAGAAATAATGAATTCCATGCAAAGTTTGTGTAAAAATGAAACCAAGTCATGGATCATGAAAAACTCATTCATACTGACAATCGTTCATGTGTAATTTTGTTTTGCAGCAACCGGACCTGTTCAACTTTTTCCTCGCGCAGCTTCAGCGCTACCTTCCTAAGTCAACAGTCAATGTCCACACAGAGAAGGGCAAGCAACACAGGGCTGATGAACTAGAGTAAGATCTTAAACTCAAGGCTTGCCACTAACGGGCGCAAAATCCTAGTCCGGACCCACCAAATTTTAACAAGGGGCTTAATGCATGTAGACCCTAAAAATCTTAGTCCAGACCCTGTAGAAAAACAAGTTGGTGTGGAGAACTGCATAAATGCTTATGGATGAGAAGGCTATAGACGAGAAGGTCTAGTGATTTCCACATTGACTGAAGTATTATCCCAACCTCACTGGGAATTGGCCCTTGATAGCCTTGGGCCTTTGCTAGTCCCTCCACTTATACTCAATAATCATGTGAAGTATGTATCCTTCTTTATTGCATTTTTTTTTTTCTATTGTAACATATCACCACAAAAAAATCTTTTTAAAAAAAAGAGAGGAAAGGACATCTTGAGTAAAAATTATTTTTCTTTTGAGTAAATTTACCTTTCATTTGCCATGATTGTTGATCAGCACAAATAATAGGCAACAGTTTACAAAGGATTAACCTACATGTTGTGAATAAAGAGAATGGAAAAAATTGTCATTCAAACTGAAGCTTTTGTCAGGCGATATCAATATGTTAATGAAATGCTACGCTGTGTAACCTAGGTTTCCAGAGTGAAGTACACGTAATTGGGTTAACAGATTATTATCGAGATAAAAGGAATTGTTCAAAGAGCACTTATCTTTGAATTACTCCCAGTCCTTGATATATAGCTATCTATCAGATGCATATCTTTACAATGGGGTGCATCTCTTGTAGGTTATGGCTATCAAATCAAAGATATAAAGCCATTCTTGTGTAACCTTATAATATTTTGTTTCTTCTGACGTATGAAACAGTTTGTATTGTGTAGTAGAGACAGATATACCTATGTACATTACATGCATCCTGCACCAATCATATATAGATCCTATCCTAAGTTGAACATGCTTAGCATGTTTAAATCTGTGTTTTGGGAATTATAATTGCAACAAGCTGTATATTTTGGGCATCGGTTCAATTGAATTGGTGATCTGATCTTTGCTCTGGGAATATTTGCCGTAGACAATTTTTTTGGGGGGGATTCATTTTTCTCTTATTTTCATTTTTCTGATGCAGCAGATTTTAATGACGTTTCCATTTGAATATAGGACTTAATTTTCTTTGGCAGTTGGCATTGTTTTCAATTTCCAGCATTGCAGAGAGTTGTAATCAGATTAACTTAGATCGTAAAGCCGTTCATATCCTATCTACTCTAATTTCAGTTATTTTTATCCTATTTTTATCAAGGAGACTGCAATCAGCACCTCATTTTCTAATGATTTTTGATACTATCCACTTAGAGCCACCATTTATTAATTTTTCAGACTGGTGATTCTCCTTAATGAAACACTTGGTTTGATGTTCCATGAGACAGAGGTTCTGCCTGGAAGATTGGACTTCATCAAAGCAAACAGGTATGTCGTCATCATCATCATCATCATCACCATCATCATCATCATCATCATCATCATCATCATCATCTTTTTCATCATCCTCATCTTTTTCATCATCATCATCACCACCACCATCATCATCATCATCATCACCATCATCATCATCATCATCACCACCATCATCATCATCACCATAATTATTTATTCAAGTCAGCATTTTCCTTCCTAAGAGGGATAACTGACTTTTGCGCCCTAATGACACTCCTTCTCTTTACTTCTTATCTCGAGCAGCCTCATTCAGACCGGCCTTACTGCTTTCTTTCCTCACCATTCTATGAAATTTTCCAGGAAATACAAAACCAGATCCTAACATTAAATGTTTGAAGAGTAGTACAAATAATAGTAAGAAGAAAAGTCAATTTTCACACTTAGAACTCTTTGCACATAACAAAAGGTTGAAATCGAGTCTAAAGTTATGAAATTGTAAATAATGAACTCTTCATGTTGTGTAGCTCCCTCTCAAGGTCAATATATTAATTAAGCTATAAAACAATGTTTCTTGACTCTAATCGACCGATTAGCTATTCCCGTTTGGAGATTATATATCAGAACTACATATTCTGAGATTTTCATGGTCGCAGCTATCATTGTAAGGCCGTAGGTGCTATTTGAAATTTATCAAAATTTACCGGGAGCACCGGTAAATTTTTATATTCAATTTTTCTCGAAAGCAGAAGTGTTTTAGGGGCTAAATTCTTTAGTGCTTATAATACATCCACAGGGGCATCCAAATATATCAAAATTGTAAAGAATCACTATCCACCCAACTTTCAAAATTTCCCAAAACTTTGTATTACCTTTAAGAAAGAAGAAATAATTTCCACAGAATATTTTTGGGGCATACTGGAAAGATTGAGATTTTATGATATTTGTTTATGCATGTAAATATATATATATACACACATTTTAAAGTAGACCTTTTTAGCCTGCTATTGCTAGGAAAATGTTAATAGATGTAGATTTATATTTTCACAATAAATATATTGGGTCTATTAAAAGTCTATTCACAATTGAGATTGTATGCTTCCCATATCCATATATGTGTGATAATCTCTAATAATCTATGACATTGACTTTTATCTAGCAGGTAATTATTATCAAATTGCAAAAATCATGGGAGTTCATCCCAATAATACATGGCCTTGATTTCCTCTATCTTCTTCCGTCTGTTTTCTTTCTCTCTCTCCTCCCCTCTTTTCCCTCTCCCTGTCTATTCTCTTTCTTTTCTATATTTGTATTTATTCCTCTATCTCTCACTTTTATTCATGGCTAGGTCATAATGAAATGAACTTATTAATTTTCTTTCATTGTAACATATATTGTGTTGAACACACACATCCCTCTCTTTCCCTCTCTCTTTCCCTCTCTCTCTCTCTCTCTCTCCCTTTCTCTCTCACTTTCTATCTCTCCACTTGATTCATGAACCTACATTATGTCATCATTGTTCAATTAATTTTCCATTACCAATCAACCCTACATTAATCAATAGAATCAAGTGTCCATCCTTCTACCCACAGTGGTAAGGCTGCGTTGGATCTACTGTGGGTATCGTTGTGTCTCCCGGAGATTACCCAGTGCTGGCGACCCCCTAGTACCTTCCCCTCTCTCTCTCTGTCTCTCTCTATCTCTCTTTCTCTTTTTGTCCCTATCTCTTCCTCTCTCTCTCTCTCTCTCTCTCTCTCTCTTCCTGTCTTTCTCTCTCTCTCTTCCTGTCTTTCTGTCACTATCTCTTCCTCTCTCTTTTTTCCTCCATTCTCTTGTTCTGTGTTTCATCTTGTCTGTTCATTTTAACCATGGACATATCATAATTGTTCAATCATTTGTCCATCATCTGTTAAACATTTATTAATCAGCTGAATGAACTGTCCTTCCTTCCTCCCACAGTGGTAAGGCTGCGCTGGATCTGCTGGTGGTACTGACGTGTCTGCCAGAGATTCCCCAGCGCTGGCGACCCCCTAGGACCAAGGCTCAATCCCTTGGCTTGGTGACTGACACAGACAGTTGGAAGACCTATGCTGATTCTGAGGTATGCAACACATGTCTTTCCTTTATGCATTGCTATCACATTATTATCCCCAAAACATATGTGCATACATTATACATATATTTATAGACTCTTTAAAACTCACAGGAAAGTGCTTTCCACTCTTGATATCTTGGTATATAGAGAATTCAAAGCCAAAGCCAAATCATTGACGAGTTCAAGTGAAAGCTAACTGTACTGATTGCATCTGAATAGGGAATGAGAATAATAAGTAGAAAAAAATTACCAGTCGTGCTTGCAAGAAAGACAATCTGATGTAGCTCCACCACTTATGGTCTATAACTGATATCAATCGTATAATTCAGTTTTTACTAGACCAACTCTTACCCTGCCTCCTACTCCCACGTTTTACCTTTACCCGGCCACCGCTGTAAATCCTGATTGCTTTCACAAATTGGCACCCTTCACCAGCCAAGTTAGAACAAAACTCTACCAGACTTGTAACACCATCTTTAACTTGCTCTCTCTCTCTCTCTCTCTCCCTAATCACAAACACAAAGCTAATTAGAATTGACATAATTTTATTAGAAATGAGCATGAAGTTCTTGAACACCGTGTAGCGCCTTTGAATCAATATCCTGAAATTTAGACCACTTTTAGTTCTTAGAGATAGGTACCTGTTTGTGGTGATATGCCCGAAGAATTATGTGATGTTCATTTGTTTTTAAAATTACATGCAATGTGGTTGAAATATATCGTGAAATGAGTGATAAGAGCTATAAAAACTTCAGAACCAGTTGAGATCACAACCAGGAGATGATATACATTGTATTATTTTCTCATCTTATTGATTATCCAGTAAAAAGGCCCTGGTTATAATTAAAGTGCCTCAAGGAACTCCTGTGGCATGATGATGACATTTCATGTAATATGCAACCGTAAAAAGAAAAAGAAAGAAAAGCTGCAAGCAACTGAGGCCCCATCTGTGATCTGTGTGTAATAGAACACAGATCTGTGATGTGTTCTGGGCTCTCTTCACTTTTTTTTCTGAAATATTTTTCAGGCAGAAATTAACCTGTCTTGTCTGAATGACACATAAAAGAGAAAAGTAATTTACAACAGATAATAATAATAATGATAATGATAATCTTTTTAAAGTCCACTCCAAATTTAATCATAACTTCCTTTTTATCAAGTCAGTCACTTATCTAAGAAATCTGATAAGTTATTTGGGAGGGGGGGGGGGGGGGGCTTACCAAAACTATATATGGGCAGAAAAACCCTTTGAATAGCAAAGAAATAAATATGATTAATTTTGAATGTTTTGTCATTCTTTTGTCAAGTTTCTAACATAAGATTGTATACAATAGGAAAAAAATGCTATACCAGTATGCCTTGAAGGAACATATCTCACTGCTTACTTGACAATGGTTTTCTATGTTTTTATAAATAATGCTTTTCCTCTTACTCTTTCGTAATTTGTTACCAAAACTTCGTAAGGTTCTGGAGGTAAAGTACACTGCTCTTTGATAGTATAAATGTATTGTGAGATTCTATGCCTTCAAGCAAACATCATAGGCCAGCTTCTCTGCACCCTTTTATATAAATGTGTGTCCCAAATCACTGGAAGGTACTATTTAACAGATAGAATGGATTGATTGAAGTCTCACAAGATAACAAAGGAAACGATCAAACAGTGAAACAATTATTCTTCTTTTTTTCTTTTTTTTTCTTTTTTTTTTGGGAGGGGGGGGGGGAAGGGGGAATGTCAGAGTTGTGTTTATGCCTCTGTAAAATTGCATGGACTAGGAATGCTGGCGGAATGGGAGCAAAAGGTTAAAAAGATTTCTTTTGAATAATTCAACAACGCATATGGGAAAAAGACAAAAAAGACTCGAAAGTGTTAAATAGTGCCTTCAATTGTAACACCAAAGTAAGCATGGACCATATCACCGTCTTCCACATTTAATCGCATTATAAAGAAACATTATCTGTATTACATTACCACTTTATGTCTGCAGCAATACGTACATGTATGTCCAATTTTTCACTCTAAATTTAATGTCTCAATGATTTCATCTTCTATCTTTTCTGTTTTCTCTTCCTAAAGTATTAGAAATAAAGAAAAGATCACTCATCTATCCCTTTATTTTTTAGCTCCTATAAAAATGAAATCCCTTTTCCTTCCCACCATCCTTCTCAATTTGTTCTACATCATTCTTTATCCAGACTGTTTTTATTTGTACGTCCTTATTTTGTGTTTATTTAAGTTTATTCCCCCTTTTTCTTTCTCTTTCTCTTTACATCTCTCTTATTCATATTGTATTCATTTCATTTTTTTTTTCTTTCATCACTGAAAAGAATATTCACCCACGAAGCCGTTATAGTATTAGAAAAATTATAAACTCGCTACTATGAAACAGAAAATGCTATTAAACAAGCTTCAGAAAAATAAAAAGGTTTTTTTCCCCTGACATTGTACTGCATTCCAGTAATTCTTATATGCATGTTCATCATGTTTTGTGTTTTGGAGTGTACAATAGAATTTGCTGCATTTTTGCTATGAAAAACAGCCTATGTGATCATCAAAGGTGGAGGTTGATGATAATATGCAATTTAGCCCCCAATAATGGATGCATTATCTACCTGATTGCACATGTATCTAATTTACCCTGAAACATAAATATTTGTTGTACAAAGGTCGCAGAGTGCATCACAATGATGCAACGTTACCTATTAAAAATGATGATTGAATACCGTCATTCTTTGTAAGCAGGATATCCACATTTCTGTTCATGCATTGCACTAACATCAATCAGCTCTTTTTACATGTAGCTTAATTGTGTTTACATAATTATTTGAACCATTAATTTGGAAACAGTTGGGGTTTGCTACAAAAGGCAATGCAAATTTCAAAAAAGGTATAAAAGGTAGACTGACTTCATTGTACAATGTTGCATGTAGTCAATGCAATGGTTTCATTTTGTTTTTGTATACACTTGCATATCATACATGTACAGGAAACTTTTCATTTATACATTAAGTGTTTGTAAAAATCTGGCCGTTGTCTATCCATTCATAACTTGTTTGAGATGTCTGTGGCTTCTCTTCACACAAAAGGTTAAGGCCAAATTGTTGACTATGAATATAGGAGTTCATGCTATAAAATAGCTAGAGTAAGTCTGAAAATAAGTTCTTTATCACTATATCAGAGCTGATTTTGCCCTGCAAGTGGAATACCATCAGGCTTGGGTGTACATGTACAAGTAGTTATAGTGAGGCCACAAAATACTGTAGGTGTGAAAATATATTTATGAACAGTGACACATTGTGATGAAGATATCTGATAATGTCATATTATTTATTTAAAAGAAGATGAATACTTTGTATCTTCAATAGTTATTTAAATGTTAAGCATTTGTATTACCTTTATCATTTTATTTTTTTACAAGCTCTGAGGGAATCTTTTTTTTCATGATTTTTTCTGATTGCAAAACTATACCTTACAAGACTGCATTACATTCACATGTATGTAGTGTTTAATACAGAAAGGTATTTACATGCCAATAATCTCACAAATGAATTAAATCGATTTTAATACTATCCGGCATGGGGATAATTGTATACATTGAAGATGGAACTTTGTGTTGAGTCCTTACAAACATGTTCCTGATAAATTGTCATATCCATGTATAACTTTGCAAACTGTGTTGTTAGCTATGAAACAAATTTTTCATTAAAGCTGTACAATCATGTAAATGCATGTTAGCAGGGGGAAAAAATACAGGGGGGGGGGGGCTCAGGGCGAAATAGCCCTCGAAAATGCCCAAAAGAGCTCCCGAAAGTCATAAAAGAGCCCCAAAAGATTTGCATACAGTTCAATGCAAAACATATTAAAGAGAGTTATCATGCAAGCAAGCTTGAATAGTACCACCCAAAAATTTTAAAATATTTTTTCCCTGCATGTTAGCTGTTACTTGTGTTTGCTAAAAGAGATTTAACAAAATTGAAAAGTAGTTTAACTTTTGTTTACATAAAACGTGATATTATGGTACACCAGCAAAGATAGAGAAATCTACATGTACTGTGGATGCCTTTGGGGGAAAGCACTTATACGTATTCTATAGGATTGGTTATTATTCAATTCCTGAGGCTCAATATGATATAAAAGTATGGAACAAATATGAAAGAGAATTTCAGACTGGCTTATATACAATTTGTGTGTGTACACATGTTGATGCAATAATAAGTCATTTAATCTTTCAGTTGTCTGCAATTTATGTCACTTCAGCTTTTAGAAATATGATGGCATATGATGTTTCGAATCAATTTCTATTAGAGTGGACCTCGAGCACTCATAAATATTTATAATTTGAACATGATGATTTTTGCTTATCTATTCATCTTTCTCTGCTGGAATGATCTGTGAGACTCGTATAATACAATTTTTTGATCAAAAATTGACTGCAGTGGTGTTATACGTACATAGCCATGTGTATGAATTCTTTATTTTAGTAAATTTATTTACCTGACAATATTCAGGATCAGATGAAATATAATGTGCCTCACCCATACTTGTTTCATAAAGTATAGGTGTGTCTTCCTCTTGGAGGCTTATGTTAATCCTGATATATGACTTTGAATTAGATGCGCTGCAAATTTATTCCAGTGTTTCTGATTTACATAATCCTCCCCCTCTATGAAAAATAAAATAGCTAGTGTTCAAAGTTCCAAGATATACAGAGATTTTACATGTCTACAGGTAAGATAAGGGCGTTCATCATAACATAATAAGAATTAAAACAAAATTCAAAGAGCTTAATCTTTATATCTAAGAAAATGGGCAAGATTGATAAGATAGGGGAAGACTCTTTTCATTTCTTTAAAAAAAGGCGGAAATCCAATTAAAGGATGGATGACTAGAGAGTAAAGTTCTAGTCGTAGAACAATGAATGAATCATTCGTTGACAAACTCATCTTCAGCTTGGTGAATAGATTAACATATTCATAGGTGATAAGTATGTCCTACCAGTGAGGTGTAATATTTATTGCATTCTATGCTTAAGTTAAGAAATAAGAAAGATATGATCCTTTTATGAACAAAATATATAATAACTTCAGGGCTTTTCAGTCCTTTAAGAAAAACCATTGTCCGTATCATTCCTCCTAATTTGAACTTTAATAAAATGGGAAGCGGGCAAATAACCTTTCTAACTTTAATATTTCTGCTTATAGAGCACTCAATACATTGGCAAGTCCAAGTTTCTAAAGCGCTTTACAGTTATTACCCCGGTCATCGGATTCTGGCTTGCCCGCACACAATGTATGCACTTTCTCCACTCCCTGGGGAGCATTCCAGCAAGAGCTACTAAGCTCAAATTGCTGGCTATTGCATCCTACCGGGTACGCATTTAACACCTGGGTGGAGAGTGGCAAATGTAGATCAATGTCTTGCCAAAGGACATTAGTGCCAGTGCCGCGGCGGGACTTGAACCGCGGACCTTGTGATTGACAGTCTGGTGACGTATCCACTTGACAACAACACCTTTTATTTAATGTGTCTAATATAGCTGAAGCAGGGCTCCACACTTACCTATGTGAAAGGAGGTCCGGATTGAACTTTTTACAGTCTGTATGCATGAGCCCTTTGTTTTAAAAAAATGCAAATTTGGGGAGTCCAATGTGCACAATTCTTGTGCACTGACTTGATGCTGGGTTTTCAAATTTGTTCACAATAATGTGCATTTCTTAATCTTCATATTTTATTTATGAAGTATATATTTCCATATTTTATCACTTTATGGTGTTAGTGTGATTTAGTCATTAATAATTTGATTATTCTGTTCAACATATTTGGTATTAATAATTATGTAATTCATTTTCCCCCTTCTAAATGTTATATACATGTAGGTTGCTAAACTAGTCCAGGAACTGACAAATGCATCTACAGTTGTTCTGTTTGAGCTGATCCTTATAGCACATCAGGTATTTATGATATTAACCTGTTGAATACTGGAACTGGATGGTCCATGTATTAAACCTATGGGAATTAGAGAACTCAGTATATAGTCAACAGGCTAATCAACATTTCTTAAAGATAAAATAGAATTCTGGTCAGGTGATGGCATTGTGAAAAATACTGTCTGGAAGCAATTGAAAACCATTTTTTACTTTGTATGTCCAACATGTTTTGTATATGTCCTTCAAACATTGTTTGTATTCTGAATGTTGTTTTAACAAAATGGTTGAACCAATAAATGAAATGAAATGAAAAGGGTTGATTATGTAGCACATAGGAATTGAGGTACACTGTGGTTTTGGATTATTCAAAGTGACAAGACATTGAGACAGTCTTGCTGAAAGTCCCATGCACTGTACGCTGATATGTTTGTATGGGACTACACACACATGTGACGGAAAAGTTTAGTACGTCCAAACACTTCAGCTATTTCTGGTCATATTTCAGATGTGAGGGCAATTTTAAGAGCCACCCTTGGCACTGGACATTGTTTTCTGTGATATTCTTCAGCACTAACGTGAAAAGAATGAAAAAGCTTGCAAATTATTAATCACCTATCCTATATTACAGATCTAAGTGCCTTACAGAGTACACTAATCATTGGATTAAATTAAGATTCTAAAATTACAGTGCATTCTCTCCGCTGTGCTTTAGAGCATTCTAAACAGTCATCATTTTACAGTCCCACGTCATGCTAATTCACAAATATGAAGTTTGCATTCTTACAAACAGTTGCGATTCCCTTAAATTGATTCTAACTTTATATAAATCATAGGTCTGTTCCTAAGAGGTAGGAGTTTGCAATATTTTGATTGATTGGAGGGCTTAGGGTTTAGTTCTCAAATGATGCCAAAATGATACATGTTAACACATGCTTCTGTTTTTTTCCTGTTAGTCAAACTGGGGAAATGGAGAGGGCAAGTTCTTCAACATCTGCTGGCTTGTGAGAGTGTTAGAGACCATGCAATCAACTCTGGTAAGAGAATCTGCCTACATTTTTTCCTCAGCTTTCCAAACTATTTTTTATTCTGTTAGTTCAGTAACAATCTGCAGCTCTTTCCGGATATCAAGGTGCATTTGAACCTTAAGCAAATCTACTGAAACAACAAAATCTGATATTGTTAAATAAAAGAAATTTAAAAATGTGAATAACTAGCACCACTGATAGATGTCCAAACTTAATGATAGAGATGATAGTTTCCTTAATTAACCATGAAACTAATTAGAGAAGGAGGAAGAAAGAACTCCTCACAAGAAGTTAAGAAGAAAGCAGAAGAATTAAGAATGAGATTTCAATGACAAACAGCAAAGCAGAGTGATTAAAACCATGCCACTAAATCACCACCACTCTAATAACTCTTTGTCTTTCAGCTGGACTTTGTAACGCGAGTTCTGGCACAGGCCATGAAGCTCCTGATGCCATCCCGTCATGAGATGCTGACTCCCAGTGATGCAGTCCTCCTCTTCCAGCAGTTCTTTGTCATCCAGACTCTGCTGGAGTACAGCCCCCAGGTTTCCGTCTATGTCAGGAACAACTACAATGAAGAATTCAGGTTGGACATTTATCGAAAAGATCCTCTCTCTTATTCTTCTATAACAGGAAATGCATGCTTTGCATAACTACAACAACAGATAATTCAACTGTTACTTGTAGTTTATTTGAAACACACATTTATTAATGTATAGAAGTTACCAATGTAATGGCTGTGTGTGAAACTAGCTTCTGGTACCACAGTATATGAAAGTCAAGGTCATGTCGAGGTCAGGTCACACACATGTACAGACTTCAACTACGACTGTTTGATGGGACTGTAAGTAATGAGTGATTCAAATTTCTGTAAAATGATCGAGGTTTAAGGTCAAAGGCAAAACGACATTACATTTTGATCTACTAGCTTTAACACTGAGCCGCTTCCTTGTAAGTTCTTTTTCACCCAAAAGGAACCAGATCTTGGCTTGAGATTTTAGTATTTAATGACACATCAATTCATGTTGGCACCCTATGTACAGTTATTCCAGTGATGAGCTGCTTGAACATTTACCATTTTTCACCATCTATGCTTCTTCTGAGCCGATTTTAAATCTACTTTCCATTAATTTTCAAATTTAATTTTCAAATCTTTGCATATCTTCAATAGCACCAATCGCAGTACGCAGAAGAGACAACTTTTTGTTTTTGCATTTCTAACTACTTTGCTATTGTTTTCCCGCACATGATATATATGTTATTGTTGCAGAAAGGTTTTGAAGTTCTTGACGATGATCGCAAATTTTGATTTGATTTGATGATATCTATGCTCTTTTGTGACTATCATTCAGGTACTACGTGCAATCACCACACATTGTCAAGAAGCTGCCAAAGCTCTACCCCATCACACCCCAGACGCTGAGGATCATCGATGAAGTCCTTAGCCATGTCCTACAGAAGCCTGCCTCTCTACTTACCAAAAAACCGAAGAAGAAATAGAGATTGTAGATGAAGTCATCATCCACCTTCTACAGAGGCCTGCATCACTATGTATTTAAATGCCAAATAAGAAATAGAGATCAGGAGACTGATGGATAGACACACAGACAAGATTGAAGATCATTGATTAAGTCATCAGCCACGTCCTACAAAAGCCTGCCTCGTTTGAACCAAGAAACCAAAAAAGAAATAGATTAAGAGACAGACAGATGGACAGACAGACGCTGAGGATTCATCAATGAAGTCCTTAGGCATGTTATACCAAAGCCTGCATTGCTACTCACCCAAAAAACCCAAGAAGAAATAGAGATTGAGAGAAGGGTGGATGGACAGACAAAACCTGAGCCATGTGAGCCATGTGAGAAGTGCGCATCACTATACCCAGAAACCTAGAAAATATAGAGACACAAACAGTTAATGGGAATTTCCTTCTAAAGCTTTCCCACCATTTGACAAAGAAGAAAAAGATAATGAGAGAAAGGGACATACGTATACTTACAGACAGATGGATGGATAAATAGGCACTGAGAATCATCGATGATGCACTCATCCTCATCCTTAAATGATACAAAGTGATATCAGGATCCCTGTTTGAGGATCTTCTGTGGGAAAGTTCCGCATCTGAGTAGCATATCTGGCATATAAGTTCCACCCTCTCCCTCGCTCTTTCTTTTTCTTGCTCAATCAAATCCAGGCATAGCAATGACTTGATGAAGTACAGTCAAACCTGTCTATAGTGACTGCTCAAGGGAAACACAAAAAGTGGCCTTTGTAGACAGGTGGTCTTTGTAGACAGGTGGTCACTAAAGCAGGTTTGACTGTAGTTACTTTGAAGGTTGGTGTGCAGGAGTTCCATGGCTGCTAGATAGAATTATTTGTTTATGTATTTGCTGCTAAGCCATGGGCTGTTTAAAAATATATGTAACCCAATGATAACAAATCCTCACATAACTTATGCTGGGTTAAATGGAAAATACATGTTTTACCATAAATGTACTCAAAGGGTTAATGGAGTAATGCTGCATTATTCTGAATGAGAGCATCATGTGCATGAAACTGAATTCTTTTCAAACACATTCCATGGTTATTGCAGGTTTTCTTGTCAAATACCTGAACATATCTGAAACATACTGTTCTAATTTTCAAACAAACTATTTTTTAATTAAAAGCACAAATCTATTTGAGTTGTTTAGCTTCGCCGTGTAAGCAGCGCCGGTGTAGTACCACCACGTGCAATGGTAATTCGGGCATTACATAAAAATACAAGACAAGTTGGACTACTTGTAAAGTTTGTAGGCATTTAGCACTTATCCAGAATGTGTAAAGTCAAAATAATATTTATGGAATTTAAAAAGAGTTGTAAAGATTCATTCAGGGAAGTAGAGTTACCAGTTGTATTGCTCAAAAATAGGAAATAATACAAAAATCATATCCACAATTGAATTATTAAAAATGACGTAACTATGAAGAGGTTCATTCATGAAATTTCATGTTAGTGAGTCTTTACAACTGCATGCTTATATTGATTCATTTTACTGTTAAAATTTTGGGATACTTATTGTTTTTGTTGATACCGTCTTTCTCATACTCCCTCAGTATAAAGTGCCTTAACAGAGGCCAAGATAAATGGATTTACCATGTGGGAAACACATTCTGAATGAAAGTGAAATATTAAAGAGTGGTTGCTTCTAGTCAAAATGATATTGTATGGAGGACATACAAGATGAAATTCACGGATGCTCAAGAATCACTATAAATGTTTAGGTTTCTGTTCTGTTAAATAAACTGCTACTTGTTATGCTATTACATCTTGTAGCAAGAAGAAATGTTTTGCTTGAGAAATAATCATATTAATTGCCTTCCGTTCAGTTGCCTTGTTTAGTTCAAATTAAGTCTAATAAAGATTATTTTAAGATTTTGAGATATGAAATTCACCTTGTTTACTATATATCAGTAGATTTTTAAAATGAATTTCTACTCCTTGATAGTTTTAGTCATAGGACTTTAGGACAATTGTCACCATAGATTCTGTAGATGAGTATGCTGTGTGAACATTGTTTATCAGAATGAATATGTAAATATATATAAGGAATCGTAATGATTTTAACTGCAAATATGCAATCACTTCTGTTGATCTCTTTAGAATGATATGTGCCTAAACGATTTCGATGAGGAGAGAATATGTTTTCCAATGAACCTTTTATTCATGATGTCACCTTGATTTTCTTTACGCTTGACTTGTGTGAATATTTATATCAAATTGTGGTGTTTTTTGTGTGATTTATCCGTCTTCTATGTACTTTTGTTTTAGGATTAGAAAGAGTATTGTAATTTTGTACGAATATTCTAAAATCTTCTTGAACCATTGTCTTTCTCTGTAATTCTAATCCGTGCCATTTGTTATGTTTGAAATCAATTCAAGAAGGCTGAGATATTCTATTACAAAGGATTTATTTCTTCTTACTAAAACTATAATGTTATGTATGCTGTGAAATGATATATTTATAATGTTACTTGAATTCATTCACCTTAAACAGAATGTGTACCAGTAAGTTAATAATCAGATAATATATTTCATCTAAATACTAAAATATCAGAAATATATGCATGATTTTTCTAGTGCTTTGAACAGAATGAATATAATTTACAGCAACACTCTTCCCACTGAAAAAAGAGTTTTCAAATGTCAGCATACACTGATTATAAAATATGTCTTGTGTTTATAGTAAATTACACCTAGCCTTTAAAGTTCAGTAGCTTTTTGAAATGATACTTTTGTATCATTTAAAATGCAATGTTAAGAATGTTTAGTGTTAATACAGTAAATTAAAACTAGGATTGCAAGTTCAAAAGCTTTTAAAAATGATTATGTCGTATTGAACTTTCAAATGCCAGTGTACATTGATTATAGAATATGATTAGTTTTTAAAGTAAATTAAACCTAGGCTTTAAAGTTCAGTAGCTCTTTGAAATGATACTTTTATATTATTTAAAATATTGCATACAAATGGAATATAAAGTGTCTCTTGTGTTTATACTGTAAATTAAAACTAGGCTTTAAAGTTTGGTAGCTTTTAAAAATGTGTTATGTTGTATCGTTTTAAATGTAGAGATAACCTACCGGGAGTTAACTTGAATTAATAATAGATAGTGTCAGCCTCAGGAGATGTTATATCCATTAAAGGCTGTTGATAATAGTAATCTAGTGGAAGAAAGGCTTTCGAGCTTCGGCTATATGTATAAAAGAGTATATGTTTTGTTTACATTTTGAGCACAACGTAATGTAAGAATTATTTTCAGGGATACACATATGAACAATGCTGGAACACAATACAAAGTTCTGCTAAACCAACCTTATACACTTGGCTTGAAGATGACATTATTTTTTAGAAATTTTAGGTTTTGGATTTATCTCTAGAATAGGAAATTATGTTATTTTTTTCCTGTATATTATCGAGTATTTTAAAAAAACCTTGAGCTTATTCAAAAGAATTAATAACCCAATGATAGGCTAGGGAGATGACTTTTTGGTGAGGGCTGTAGTAATTTTGATTCTATTGCCTCTGTTTGTGTACTGTATTTGAACTGGTAGTTCCATCAAATTGTTTTCCTTTTTACCAAAGTAATTATACTTGAATTACTTCCATGGGCAGGACCAAAAAATGGCATTTAGTGCTTTGCTTTTGGTCTGGATCATTAGGAAAGCGTTCTATGAAACATTCCAATCATTAATGTTTGAAAGTTTTGATGCCTATGTCTAGACAACTTACCGTACCTCATGCAGGTGCTGGCAGACTAAAGTTAGCTGCCAGTTTTCTGTTGGCCAAAACAGCATTCTTTGATGATTTGAAAACTGCCAGCTAACTTCAGTCTGCCAGCACATGTCTAACCAATGTTTCTTGATGTAAATAAATTTGGCATAGAACTCTTTTCTAATTAGGTTATATACTGCATTAAATGGATGTAGTCTTATTTACATCATCATCTTTTAACATACCATCATCTGCTATTTGTATTAAGGATTCAGATGGATGTCAGCTAATATTTTTTACACAGAGTTAATGCTCTTCCGATTCTCAACAGAAATCGTTCTTTCTATTTTTCTCCTCAACCATTAAATGTGTGTTTTGTATGATTTTAAGAATTGCTTGCGATCTGCATTACCTTGCAGAGGTTGTAATTCTTGAGTATCACCAGTGTAAAATCAATCACCTTGAAGAAATAGTTTGCTTTGAATGCTGTGTTTATTTTTTTTCTTTCCAAATGAATATCCGTCTTCACATACATGTTGTAAAACATTAATTTGTTTGTTTATATACCTAATAGCTACTGGTAGATATGAGCATATTATTTGCAAACTTTGTGTGTTTGGAACTTTGGAAGTGGCTATTATCTGTTTTATCATAAAAACATGGATCAAAAACATTTCTACACTTTGTAGTTGATTTAAATTTGTATGGAAAAGTAACGTACCTCGGTTTCTTAAAAGGCTACATATTCACCATTTCTTTTCCATACATATATTAAAATCCATACCATTTTTTTGTCAGATGCTATGAGAATGTTGTACCGGAATATTAGCTACATGTATGTTTTTGGGGTCAAATAGAGGGAGGAGAGTGTAGGATAGCTATTTTTTGAATGTCTCTAGCATAATACTATATAGGTACATATGAAGAGACATACTACCTCTTGCTCAATTACTTGTAAAAGGATGAGAATATTTCAGCCGATTTTAACTCTTACTTTGTGTAGTTGTCAACATACTACAGGTATATAGAGTGTATGTAGTTACTTACAAGTTGCTTAGTGAGGTGTTTTAAATTCATACTTTATGAAGATAGTTTATAGTGTGCATTTATTTTATCAGAGAGTGTGGTATAGAAATGCTGTATATGTATTTGTAACTAGAGTAAAATTATAGTTTATATGTTTATTTCTTTAAAAGAAATGTTTGAATGAGCTTCTTTTGAAATCACCTTGAATCAAAAATTGGAATCTCTATATGATTTCTTCACTGATATTCTTCTTTAGCTAAATAAAATAGATCTTTGAATATATGTGATGTATGTTCAACCCATGTGCTTTTGTTTATGTTAAACATGATCAGAACTACTTGAGCAAAATCGACCTAAGGCAACTTAATTGTGTCGCCTTTTGAAAGGTGTGAACATTAGAATGAAAGTTTATGTATATATTCGGACATGAGTTCTATAGGACTTACATTGCCCTTGACTATATTTTTCTGGGAAGTTTTTGGGAGGGAAGGAGTGAGAGTGTGAGAGAGAGAGGGAGAAAGAGAGAGAGAAAGAACATAATGACAATGATGATAAATTTTTGTATTTACTCGGGAAAGCCTAATTAATATCAGTACTCTTCTTGTAAGGGCAGTGCCCGCATTTAAGGGTCAATCATTTGTATCTCGATGGAGTGTAGCAAATGTGGATTGCCATCTTGCTAATGGACAATAGTACCGGGCCGGGATTGAACCCCAACCTTTGGATTGGGAGTCCAGTGAATGAACCACTATACCATGATACTCTCCACTTCGAGAAAGGGAGGGAGAGAGGGTGTGTGTGTGAGAGGGAGAGAGAGAGAGAAAGATAGAACGAGAGAAAGAGAGAGTGGGTAGAGCAAAAGTGTGGCGATAATGTACCTGTGGTGAACAGAATAACGCCAATAAAACAGTACCTGTAATGGAGAAGTGGGGGAGGGATATGGCATTCTTACAAACCTGTTTTCTAAATTCAACTCATTGTTATACAACAAAGAGGTACAGACGAAATCAATAATAGCGCTAGTGATTATGCCATTGTATTCACTACGGGAAGGTCCTTTCGAACCGGCTTACTGAACCCCTCAACGACCAATGCAAACTTACACTGTCGCTTATTGAATATGGTCCGCAAAACTAACCCGAAATTATTTTTAGCATGACCTACAGAAATAGTACTGTGTCCTGAAATCTGACAGCAAGGGCTATTTCATACAAATTCAACATTCATTTACATCGATACTGTTAACAAGGACATGGAGCCATGTAGGTGAAGATGTTGCGTGGTTGCGGTTACTCGACATTGATAGCAGAAAATGGTATGTATGAGTATGTTACCTTATATTATGACGTATTTTTTAAATGAAATTACGTCACAATACGCATGAAAAGTTGTATCATTCGATGTTTGATCGCAACACAGGTTTATCGTAACCATCTAAAAGTGTACGCGCTGTCCAACATGAAAGAGGAACATGGCAGGGAATGATCAAAACTTCTTCAAAAGTATTTTCGGAGCAACGAAATATCTAGGGGAAATACGACGTTGCCTTGTTTTGACCACAAGATGGAAAAGAAGAAAATGTGATCATGGAAATGGTGTAAAAGAAGCAATTTCTCATTGGCGGTAACGAAAAAAAAACCCTGGTTACAATAGATTAATATTAACAGTTCATTGGTCGAATGATGATTCATTGGTCGAATGATGATGCACTTGCCATCATGACATCTAAAGAAAGTACCTTTGTTGTGCACACTGATGAAAGGCTAATATATATACAAAATACCGGTAACATTTATAGAGATTATCTAGAGTATTTTAAATATAGGCTAGTTTGTGTTTCAATTAAAAATATGTGTTGTTTTGAATTTCTAACATTTTCTTCAAATGATTTTATAGTGTTCTCGTCTCTTCGATGTATGCATTTTATTACATCGTGCTATAGACCAAATTCTAGAAATTCTGCAGATTTTTTATCTTTTCATTTTTATTTACTAAAATATATGGCATTAAAAATACACTCATATCTTATCATTATCTTCATTGTTATTATAGGAGGATCAATGACCAAGGTAGTTTAGTAATCATATGCAGACTGATTATTATCTGATTGTGCTTGCATAAAGTGCAGTAGGTTACACATTTCAATTGATATGTCAACAATATTATGATACATTAATTTTTTTAAGAGACTTTGCTCTTGTTTTATTTGTACAATAACTATGGTTGCTCTCGATCGAAATATCGACGGGTAATTGACATAATCTGATTTGTAACAACACACGTTATTTTAACAAGACCCTTCATTTCAATGCAAATAAAACACTTTGTGTCCGAATTTGTTATAAAGTACGATTTTGAGCACAATTCAATCCTAGCCAGCTATCACGCTATCTATTAAAGCTCATACTATTATTATTAAAACGGACTGTAAATGGGATTTGGAGATGATTATGATCTGACAAATTTATCTCTTTGTTGCTTTCCAGAACATTAAGAGCTACACACGGATAGATCTGACGACCATCTCTGTTAATCTTCAGCAAGATGGCGACGGATGACACCCAGTCATTACAGTCCTTAGGGATAACCCCTTACTTCAGTTCCTCATCACGTGACTTGAGATTGGATTTAAATTATCGCAATATCCAACGCCTGCCTTATGACCTTTTCAAATTGGAGGACCTGCAATGGCTGAACCTCAATGTGAACAAGCTACATGAGCTGCCTCTGGAGTTTGGAGCGCTGAGGAAACTCCGATGGCTGTATCTTGAGAACAACCTCTTCGACAGGTTCCCCGATGTTCTCTGTGAGCTTACAGCGTTGGTACGGCTCTACTTGAGTACGAACAGTCTCAAGATGATCCCGCGAGACATATGCAGGTTAACTGAGCTGCGGTGGCTTGACCTTTCAGACAATTCCTTCTGGGAGTTTCCTCTGGGTCTCTGTGACAGTGCCTTGTCAAAATTGGAGCGACTGATCATGGACAACAACAAACTGACCTGCCTGCCAGCTCAGGTTTCGATCCTGAAAGGGTTGAAGACATTCCACTTAAGTGACAACCAACTGGAGTGGTTGCCTCAGACTATTTGCGATATGGTGAAGCTGGAGGAACTGCAGCTGACGAACAACCCCCTGAAAACTCTTCCCGCCTACTTCGGCGAACGACTGAAAAGGCTAAGAATCTTAGTCTGCAAGGGATGCCCTTTTATTCAACCTTTGAAGAACTCGGTGGATAAAGGAATGACGTCACTTCGTGAATACCAGGGAGTCATCAATAGACGATGTGAACACAGTGGGTTGGTGTATTTTAAGAAGCAGAACGATGGCAGTGGTGAGAAACCTTGCTATCGCATGAGGACTAGACCGAGGGGAGTGGCAGTAATCATAGATAACTTGTCTGATCTAGGATCCAAAGATAGAGATGAAGACGGAAGGACATCTACGCCAAGTGGGCATAGTAGTTCGGGTTAGTATTACTTTAGAAGATCTGGATCCTGTCCATGAACGTCATCTATTTTTAAACTGCAGCAATGGAGGAGGGGGTGGGGGTGGCTCTCCGCCACGTCGAGAACTGAATTGTTCGATCCCACCAATCCCCTTCTTGATGATACTCCTACACATTCGATGGGGAAAGTTTATAATCTATCAATATATATTTTTTTAAATATTCAATCCAATGACTTACAGAAGTTTAAATAACTCGTGTATGTACCAACAAGCATTAATTATCAAAGTTATTTTACGGGAAGGGATTTCAATTCCCTGCCCCTCCCTTCTCTCTCCGCTATGCTGATCAAATTTACTTTACTTTTTGAAAATTACAATCAGTATACTCGGTAGATCGAGTTCGTATTGGAATGATAATAACTGTGATTGTAATCCAAGTATATTATAATCCCCACTTTAATTTTGTGTGTTGATGTAACCCATATTTAAACTAGGCTTGCGCCCTCTCGCAATAAGCATCCCAAAACAAAATCAATTATACGTCCTACTTTCGTTCATGAATATTCAGTAATGATAGATGACGAAGTAAGTGGTATCAGTTGTGGTAGTATGGGTGGAAGTAATAGTGCTAGGGTTATTATTATTGGAAGTAGTAGTAGTAGTAGTAGTATTAGTATTAGTAGTAATAATAATAATAATATAGCTATGCATGGATAATGCAAACAATGTGAAATGGTTAGATATTTGCTGGCATGTCAAAATATTCAAGTGAAATAATTTGTATATATATATATATATATATATATATATCTGTTTACCTTCAGACATTCTCCGATCTGTTCTACTGAAGCTTGGTTTCAACGTGAGGATGATGCGAGGTTTGATGTCTCTCGACATTATCTCAGCTCTTCGCTTCATCAGTCTCGAAGACCACTCCTACTTTGACTGTCTCATGGTTTGTGTTTTATCTTACGGAGGCCAAGGGAAGGTGATAGGACCTGATGGCGTGTCGGTGGACGTCAAGCAACTGATGGAAATCTTCTCCCGAGAAAACTGTCCATCTCTTGCGGACAAACCCAAGATGTTCTTCCTACAGGTCCTGGACAAGCACCCGTCCTCTTCACCAAGGTCGCCCGGTGCGTCGGGTAGTCCAGCAGTGACTCCAAGGAACCTTAACAAAGGTGGGAAGCGTTCATCACAGATGTCGGAAGACCCTACCGCCGCACTCATTCCTGACGACGACGACTTCCTGCTCACTGTTGCCATGGTACCGCCTGCTGCCGTGTGCGAGTCCCTCCGCGACGTATACACCCTCTACGTCAACGTCCTCTTCGGGATGATGGAGAAATACGCCCGCAAGCTTAACATTCTTGATGTCGTAAATGCTGTCCATAGTGAAGTAAGGACGATACGAATAGCCACTGTGGATGGTAAAGGGACTTCCATAAAGCCTATCATCCAGTCTTCTCTGAAGTATAATCTTTACCTTAGTGTACCCACCACTCTTGTTACTCCTACTAGTAGTCTGGGAATGGCAAGTCCGTAGTAGTGCTCATCTGTACTGACCTCAATAATTTGAGTATTATTGAAATATCATTACGTTAACGCGGTCGCAAAGACTTTCGAAAACAACTTAAAGTCGTATCAATAGCCTCGTCCGTCGCCTTTTTGTCTGTCCGAACATTGAAGCAGTGGTTTAAGGTATAGACCAGTTTTGGAAACGTCCCCCTCTCAAAAAATGAAATGGAAGCTCTCATTACCAATCATGTGAAAGAATATGTTTTGACTAATACGTGATGATACGCATTTTGCCGGGAAACCGCCTACTAATTGATTGGTAAATTATCAAATCGATCGGGCCTGGATAGATATCGAGAATGCACTTCAACATTAAATCATTATTTTGGCATGGAATAGTTCATTTAGGGTATTGAAATAACACTTGAGTTGATTTTTCGAAAGTTTTAGCGATCGTGTTCATTACTAATATTAAGAATACAACTACCACTATTAAACAACATTTGAAAGTTTCAAAGGAATATTCCTTACGAGGAGGCTTACATTCTTTTACTTGTGAATAAACCTTACAATAAGAAATTACTTTTTTGGGTTCTTATATCAACTTATACTAACAAAACAGATAGCAAGAGGGTCGCTCATGGAAAAGGTATGACGTAAGCTTGTCATAATGAGCTTAAAACCATTGGAAGTTAAACAATTTATTGCATATTCACATGATAATAACCGAAACGAATCGTACTCAAAACAGACATTGTGACAATCGAGTGCTCGAATTTCGATTCATTAGGGGTCTCAATAAGTCTATAAGTTATACAAACTTATTAGCAAGTCTCTGATTTAACTTAATAACTTGGTTAAAATGATTTTTGTTGTTCACTAGATGACATTCGAGACTCGTAACTGACATAAAAAATATAGATAGTAAAGATAATTCTAAAATATAATCATCAATGAAATTTAATTTATCATACATAGATATTCACATTCCAGGTATGATTGAATTTATCGGATTGCATGAAGCTCTTTTCGTAGTAACCTAATGCCAGTCTTACTGTTCAAGATATAGTTAGAATATTCATATATAAATATCCAAATATGGATAATAATTGTATTGACCAAACACTTGGAACACAGTGAACAAACTTGACACAGAAATATTTATGAAATATTTGCAGATGGAAATTTGTTTTAATGCAAATATACACTGCTTTGTCACGACAGTATAGGGCTTTTCGAATTCCTTTGACGCCTTTATCCATGTGCTTACTCACCGCGCAATTGGAGTCGTCATTTTCGTCTTAATGTATGCAATTCTATGAGAAAAAGTGTAGGATGTATGCATAAATTTGTTATATCGAGCAACACTCGCTCAAACTTGATCCTGGATCATGAAGACAATTTACTGTATAATCATTATTCATAGCATGTGGTTGAGTTTGTGAACGAGTTGATTGCCAGACTGCTCGGAGAGGTGACAATAATTCATTACCTGAACTGAACTACTTCTACATTCAAATTTGGAGGTCACCACGAGTAATGTGAACTATACTTTGTAGACGACTTGAATAAATTTGTAAAACCGTCTATATTAACAACTGTTGAGGGTTCAGAGATAGAGGCTACGCAAGATTTTCTACCGAAAGAGATGTTATCCTACATCGGGTTGGATTTCCTTTACTTTTATCGGATTGTATCTACATATATATTGGTTTCTTCTAGAAATCTTTGATCGGGTAAGGTGCAATTTGGCCTGCTTGTGCGGGCATACTTATCATTTATTTATTTCCATTATTTGTGATGATTTTGGGGCTGAATAGGAATGGTTTATGACTAGATTCCAATCTGAGCCGTTAGTGGATAAAGAATTCATGTAAATGATCATTGTAATGATCCATATACAGATGTTTATTTTTGATAACGTTTTAATACCTCTTGCATGCCATGTGTTATCACTTATATTTTGAGAGTTTGACTGATTATGAGATCGATAATTTTCACTCTAACCACCTTATAATTGTATTTCGTCCGTTGAGAGCCAGAAAGACATTAAATTTGCGTTCAGTACCATGACTTTAATCTCCTTTTGGTTTTGAACAGACTATTGGATGTAGCATAATGTCAGTCATATAACATTTCGAGGGTTCAGTGACACAAAGACGTAACTCATTTTCAAAATGAGTATTTGATATCAAAATGTTCAGAAAAATGTGGGCTTTCCAGGAAACACAAAGACTTAACTCCACCCATGGAAGTAAACGGCTAGTGAAACACAGACTTACCCCTTAAGGCCCAAGTGCTCAGTGACACATAAACCACTTTTTCTCAAAATGGCCAAAATAGAGTTACGTCTTTGTGTCACTGACCCCTCGATTTATACTAATTTTTTTATTAGTAGAGTTCAAATAGCGGGGCATAATCAAAGCTTTCGTGCAGATTGCATTGTACACCTTACTTAAAGTTGTAAAGTTGGGAACTGCAGTTCCTAAATTTGTTCCAGTGCACACAGCGTAAACGTAAATTAGCTAACCATTTCGTTACTTTATAAACACGCTAAAAAGATACAATATTGACATTAATTAACGAGTCAAATGTTCGAACTTGGTACTATGTTTATACACCCAAACCAATTTTTCCTTCTTCAAAGAATCATTAGTTAATATATACTGTCCGAAGACGAGCAATCTATAGATATAATATGTTTAATTATATTGACAATTTTCTTCTGAGAAAAGATAAAGTTCGATTGTAATTCAAGTTCTGACATTAAACTCACGAAAGTAAATCATGATCGTGTGAAGAGCATACGTAGTATTCCAATGAAGGGCACATGATGATACGCAATGTGACGTGCGAAGTAGGAGAAAATGGAAAATAGAATGAGAATAGAAACCCAACAGAGAGTGTAATAAAGTATGTGAAGTATGGTTTAATTGCGAGTATTATGTGAATAAGAAATATGAGGAAGGATGAGAGAGTAACACGGAATTATATGTAGGGTGTGTGTGTGTGTGTGTGAGAGAGAGAGAGAGAGAGAGAGAGACAGAGACAGAGACAGATATGGAGAAGGAGGTTACAGTGGAGGAGGGAGGGGAAATGGAGGAACATATTAGGGGGAGAGAGAGGGAGACGAGGAGAACCGCAAGATAGAGATTACAGAAAAGGGAAGAGAGAGAAAGAGAGAGAGAGAGAGAGAGAGAGAGAGAGAGAGATGGAGAAGGAGGTTACATTGAGGGAGGGACGGAGGATAAAATGGAGGAACCTATTAGGGGAGAGATAGAGAGGGAGATGGGAGAACCATAATATAGAGATTACAAAATAGGAAAGAAAGAAAGAGAGAGATAGAGAGTCAGAGGAAGGGGGAAAAAAGAGAAAAAGAGGGAGGTATGTATATGAAGTAGACACAAACTTGAGTGATATCTGCCGTATTAACTTTAAAATCCAACATCGAATTAAAGCAACAACAAAAAAGAAAAAAAGATAATCCAAAATTTCGCAATTTTGCCAGAAATGCGTTAAAGCGATTGATTAGAGTCATACTCGATAAAAGACTTCCTCCATCATTTATGCACATTTTATTGTCATTATGAACTCTATGAGGCTATGAAAGGCTGTTCATAGACACATCTTCCCTGCCTTCAAGCTTAACAAAATATGGTATGCAGTCTAAAAACGCATCACAACCATTGATAATGAGATTTTGATTATTGATTATAGAGTAACGAAATGTAATGAAATATCTCATGTTGCTCCAAAATGTATATCTAAACGCTGATTAAGACAATCAGTTTTCTTTGTGGATGTCATTAAAGCATTAACTGTATTATTCAAAATATGAATTGTACTTTATTCTGGTTGAAATGAATTTAATTTTCCTGCTTTTCCTGGTAATTTTGTTTCCTGCATGGTTAAAATAATTTTCATATTGCCTCCTGATCTTCACGAACGGTAGAAATTCTTAGAAATAGGCACTTAATTGGTCATGGTATCTTGCGTAAAATAGGCGCAACTTCTTTCTATATAATTTTCGATAAAAAAATGAACTCTAATTTCTAATCTCGTTTATAATCACGTTAAGTGCTTATATACGCGAGACTCTCGCTTGATACTACTAAACATGCTGATGGACGTAATTGACGTTATACAGTGCGTCCCGGAAAAAACGAAACCGAGAATTATCGATGTTTTATCATAATCTTAATCACAATTATAATTAATAAATGATACATAATTTGTAAAGCTTAGATCCTCCTCTTTCATTTGATGCAACTCATGTATATTTCACGCACGAGTGATTAAACAAAAATTGAAGATAGGGTACTATAGAAAGTCATTTGTTTTCACTGGCTGCCTGCCGTAGCAACAAACATAGTTGACAAACGTTTCGTTGACGATCAGCCACGCATGAAGTCTTTCATCTTCTTTGTTTGTTGTTAGGGCAGACAGCCAGTGGTACGATTCGTTTAATAAAATTATGGAAATGCAAGCATTACTTTAAACAAACAGAACTTTGTTATTCGTGGCTCATTTTTTCCTGATTGAGGTGTCATATGAAAGGGCAGAGAAAGTGATTGTCTCTTTGAAATTCAGATACCATTAAATCTTCCTTTCGTGTACCTTTTGCCGTTAGCTCATAATAATGATGCCCTCGTTAAGCCCAGGTAGCTCCATTAAGATTAAGTGGGCCATTAATTCTCTAATATCATCCAAGCATTGACCCACTTAATATGAATGGGTCAAAAATGACAAAAAAATTGTTGATGAAACGTCTCGTTTAAGTATTTGAAGTTTTGAACGCTGAGCAAAGATCGAACCCGTGACTTTAATAAACGAGGGTCAGGCCCCTTCACCTTCTCCTTTCCCTGAAGGAAAGGCATAACAACACTTCGGAAGTAGTCCTTCGGATAGAGACGTATAGAAGACATGCCCCTTTTTTACAGTTAGTTTGACAAAAAGCCTAATTTTGCTGACGTAGGATTCCGTTAACGACAAGGCGAGGCATATCGACGCACCATGTGAGGGGAACAGAAGAGAAAATCTTGCGTTGGATTACATAAGCATCAATTGCTTTCATAATGGCTTAATTAGTAAGGGTACAAACGCTTTTGAAAAGTCGACTCACCAGCAAAGATCATTATTCTTGTATCATGTAAAGTAGCGTTTTTCATGAGCTTAGTCTAGACGTTCGATGAATGGTAACAAGAATTGGTGAGAGAAGTAGATGGCCCTTCTTTAAACCACTCTCTAAAATAGATCGTCACACCAGATGATCAAACGTCTTCAGTTTTGTTGATATACCAGTATCAGATCTCGGATTTGAACGTCTTCGGTTGGAACTTCAGTCTCCGGCACCGCCAAACCCATTTCACACCAACTCCAAACCGACCGATTCTTGGGCAGGAGGCCCAATAATATATATTAAAAAAATAGTGTGTGGTAGTTCTCGTTGCTGTGGCTGTGACTATAATGAAGGGCATATTTAAACTATCAATCCAAATTGAAAGGAGACACATATTCAACTCGTTTAAAATGAAAAGAGGGCGAACAGTGGAGAATTAATCGAGTACAAAAATGATCAGTAAAACATAACAGAACAAAAAATAATACATTTAATAATAATAATAATAATATCTAATTTTTATAAAGCGCTTAATACAAATGTCTCTAAGCGCTTTACAAATATATTATTACCCCGGTCATTGGATTCAGTGCTAACCCTCACACAATGTGTGCACTATATCCACTCCCTGGGGAGCATTCCAGCCAGGCGTTATTACATGACGCTCAAAAACTGTTTGACCAACAATGACGGTCGCATCCTACCGCGTCCAATAAGTAAGATTTTAAGGCATAATCTGAGAGAACATTTCCTCCTCCTGGCGGCAGATTCACAGCGCCCTCTTTAATCCATGTCAACATATTTCTGTCGTTATAATGTATGGAATGTATAGATCTTGTTGAAATATCCTTTTCTCTCATTTTGTCACCGCACTATCTCTCTTACTCTTCCATCGTTCTATTCTCTCTCTCTCTCTCTCTCTCTCTCTCTCTCTCTCTCTCTCTCTCTCTCTCTTTCTCTCATGCGCTCATCGTTCAATCTCTTTCTCTCTATTTCTACCTTCTCCCTCATTCAGCGTGTTGCATAACAATATCCCTAGGATGATTAATTTTACAATGACTGACTTGGACTATGATAAACGTATATTTTTGTAACTTCAAATGCGATTTTGCTGCTAGTTTTTATGTTGACCGATATTCAATTCAGCTTTCGGGCTGCTATGTATCGTTGTTAATAAACCATTTTCAATTCAATTCAATTTCAAAAAATATACGCACGTGTTTAGTCTTCGGCAGGAACTTCAGTCTCACAGTCAAACCCATTTCACACCAACTCCAAAACCGGCCGATTTCGGGGCAAGCGGGGTAATGGGATTTTCTTTAAATTGAATCTGGTGTCGTTCTTGTTGCTGTGACTTGGATATATGCATGAGTAGAGGAAACGAATGGAGACACGAGGAAACGCGTTAATGGGATGCCTCGTCAAAAATACAATTAAGATACTTCTTAAGGTGTGGGCGCGGGTGTGCGTGTGCGTTTTAATCAGACTTTCCTGTCCCTAGTTTATAGATACATTCGGTGGTAGGTATATTGTCACGATGTATTTCATTTAGTCTGGATTCATGATTACCCCTCGTCTCAGTCCATTAATGTTTTTGTTGTTGTTGGGTTTTTAGGCTGTCCAATCTGAAAAGATTATTTCCGCCTGGCATTACTGTTTTTCGAGTTCTTCATCAATGGTGATAGCGCTGTTTCTTTTTTTTCTGGCTCAAATATTGATTAGCTATGTATCCTTTTATATGGGTCTCTTTTTATTCACGTATATAGCTCTTTGTTTCACTCTCTACTCAACTGTCACTATTCGTCTTGCCATATTATTCCATTCTTATTTCCTGCCCCTCTTACCACCCCATTAGTGGGTCGCGCCTGTATCATGTTGTCCTGTGTCATGTTCTATTCTGTATTTAGGTTGACGTTGAAACACAGGCTTACACGATACTTCTTTTTTCGGTTGCAATCGC